CGATAGATAATCAATACCAGAACCAGTCATTAAGTTTTGCCAAATCAAACGTACGTCAATTTCGCGACTCTCAATGTCGAACACGTAGATCAGCAGCTCTACGCTTCGGAAAATGTGGTCCCGCTGACTCTCAAAGTAGTTCTCGTAGAAGGCATCCTGGCTGTAAAGAGCAAAATCAGCACAGAACCAGATTAGCGGGTGTATCAGTAAATGCAGAGCGCTACTTTGCAGTCGTACCCCCCGCAATCCCACAGATTTAGCACCAAGTTGCCCAGGAAGCGCACGTGCGAATGCTCCACGTCCACTACAAAGCAGCAACAGCCAGAGCCCTGTTAATCTCCTCGTATCTAACTCAATTTCGGCGCTATCGATCACGTACGTGTGGGTCCCAGCCGCATCGTGTCGCGAGCTAATCAGTTATAAAATTGTAAGAACACAATGTTAGTGGGAGATCGCTATTTAGCAGCAATATGCAGGGCGGGGTCGTACCAAGGTAGTTGGCAAAGATAATGGAGCGCATGGACGTCTTGCCCGAGCCGGACTTGCCCATCAACAGAACCTATACATATCAAACACGTTCCTCTAGTTAGAAAACCCTGCGCGGTGGCGTATCGGACGGGGAAGCGCTGGCTCGACACTTACTTTCTTCTTCATGACTGCCACTTGGTCTGCTTCTTCGACTTTGAGTTGAAAATTACAGCTGTCCTAATTTCAGATTTTAGGCAAAGACAAAAATACAAAATCTAGATGCTTTTTAGAATTTAGATCTACAGCTCACTTCAACAATTGATAAATATAGGTGGACGATGACAGTCACGCCAATTTCCACCATTACAATGCCGTTAGCGACGAGTACCAATGCACCACCCGCTCTAACATCTAAACCGCGAGCTCCATCTCGACCTGGGAGCGCATCGGCTACAGTCGCTAAGCGCCGATGGAACGCACCTCCGGCAGGTCTCTTTCCAACAGCTTCAACGACATCCAAGAAGAATGAACGCCCATCTACAGCAAACGCCAAGCATCTACCCGATGTTTCAACAGCTCGGACAACGCCGCAAGATCCTCGTCAGCAATTCCGTGCTGCAATGGCCACTGCACCGTCAATCAGCGGTAGGCGTACAAATATTAGAAAGGAGTCAAGCAACAGTCGAAAGATCGATGAGAATCAGAAAACAAGGCAAGAGATGGGCATCGTGGCCAGCCCTCCATTAGGTCGAAGGCTATCGCAGCCATCACGGCTACATTGTGGCAGCGACGGACTTCAACATACTGCTAAAGTAGATGTCATAGAGCCACATGACAGAGTCAGCGATGGGAGTGCTCCCGTCGCTCTTCGAGCTGACTCAAAGAGGCAGCAACTACTTGCGCGCGAGGCAGAACTGAACGCCATGCAGAGTGAACGTCGTCGAGATTCGTTTCACAGCGCCCAAGTCCTTAAAAGTCTGCGACGTCAAGATGTTGAAGCTGACGACGTGAGTCCTCTGATTGAAATCATTTACTGGTCACCCTTCGTGGAAGTCCGACGTGACGCCGCTGCTGCTATAGCTTCTCTGTGTCGCAACAGTACGTTGATATACACTTTCATGGCACTTAAGCGCTGAATTAACTACTTTTGTGCTGTTTATGTAGCCGCGAATCTCGATCTTCTTGACGAAGTAGGTGCGCTTGGTGCAATCCTGACGATGTTGAGCTCACCACTAGATCGAGAGGACCCGGGAATTTCTATGGACTGCGCACAAGCATTGGCTGCTCTTGTACGGTTGTCCGCTGTCAAGACGAAGCTTCTTCAAGCACCCGGTGGCATCGACTGCGTCTTCTCCTTGCTGCATACTACAACAGATCAAAAGCTGCGACTTGCAGGCTTCGAGATCGTCGCACGACTGGTAACAACCGATGAGTGGCGCGAGGCTGTGGCCAAACGAGAAGGCTTCGCATTCATGTTGAAATGCTGTTCCGGCAGTGGTGCACCGCAGACTTCAAGAGGTGCTGCAGGCGATACCCGTACTCGAACGTTGGCTGCTTCAGTGCTGCACCAACTGGCTGTCTCGTGCGATAACAGAGTGTTTTTTTACCATTCCGGTCACTTCACGACACTCGCGGGTCTATTACGAGATCCGTTCTTGGATAAAGATGCAGTCTTTCGCCGGGAGTTGTTGAGTTTCGTGCATTTACTGCTCTCCGAGACAGAAAATGCTCGTCGGTTTGCTTCGATTGGACTTCTATCCTGTGTACTTAGTGTGCTTGGCCGTGGATCATCCTGCTCAACAAGGCCATCACTTCAAGTGAGTCTGCTCGTGGTTGCCATTCTGGACGAGGTCGCCAAGGACGACGTTAATCATGAAGCACTCGTGCAAGCTGAAGCGATGACGCGCCTGGTCCACTTATGCTTCTCTTTTAATGGTATACCAATCGCTGAGACAGAAGCCAAACGCCCACACACGGCAGCAATTTCCACTCAGGCTAAAACAAGTTCGCGACCATTTTCGGCTACTTCAACTCGCCCTCGCTCGGTATCTACTTGGCCAGCCTCGGAAGCTACAGCAATCATTCGTGCAACACTTGGGATCTTCTGCGCTATGGCTCGCAACATCGCCAACCGAGAGCACGTTATTCGATCCAAAGTGCTCGATCACATTGCAGCACGGGAACTGTACGCGTCGTCCGACAAACGTGTTCGTCGAGCAGTTATCAATCTTCTCACGCTCTTGATCTGCTCCAAGAGCAAGCAACACAAACACCCCAACCAGTTAGAAGATGACACGTCTTCGAGTCCACCTGCTTCTCCCCGAGTGTCTAGCCAAACTTCCGAGAGTGACTATCAACACTACATCGAGTTACTTGCACGTGGTGTCGTCAAGTGTTTGTTTGGTATCCTGGCTGGTGATGACTTTGGAATGAAAGTGGATGCACTGAGTGCTCTAGCACAACTCACGCACGACGCTCCGTCCCGACTAACACTGTGTAAACCTGCACTACTGGCAGCACTGGGACAGTTTGCCTTCCATCCGCTCGTATCCACGCGCCTCCATGTCGCTCAGATCATCGCAAACTTTGCCGAACGACCTGAAAATGTGCTGAAGCTTGTGGATGCTGGGCTCCTGCCTGTGCTTGTAAGATACGTGAGTCCGCTAGATCGAAATCATGCAGTTGGCCATAGCAGCGACAAAGGTGTGAGCGAAGCCTTGCTAGTCGAGACCACTCGAGCATTGGCAGCCGTATCGGAGCTCCACGTGGCGCGCTCAAGGCTAGTGGAGAGCGGGGTATTAGGTGCACTGATGCGGTTGATTCGAGTGTCTTCAAATCGATCCGAGGTCCGATCCTATGCTCAATCTGCTGTTAGAAACCTTCGACATGATGCGGCGGCGTTGCGTATTCAGGCAATCTACCGTGGCTGGCATGTACGTATGACTTTCACTGGTGTGAAACGCAGACAGAATATCCGTAAACTCTCCATGCTGGTAGAGGCAGCTATCCCCATGCAACAACGTTAGAAATGTTTAATATTCCACAACAACACCAGCATACTGAAATGTTCACGAGTTCTTTAAACGGTCCATGGAAGTTGGTAGGTGTTCATACAGATCCTGAACTTCTAAGCCTTGTACACACGCGTTTCTACGGGGAAGCGCACGTCGATCAGTCCGGTAATACCAGCCGTAAGCACCTGCAAACAGCAATGTCATGAATGAAAAATATAGCTGCAAGACTACAAAGGTGGAAACGTACGCTGCCAACCGGGACTGGGCCAACTCCTTCCGGGGTGCCAGTGATAAGCAGGTCTCCTTCTTCCAGTGTCATGATGCGGCTCACGTAAGAGATCAAGAACGGGATGTTGTGCACCATGTCACCAGTGTTGCCGTTCTGACGCAGCTCGTCGTCCACCTTCAGCCACAGGTTGAGATCATGCGGTGAAGGCACCACAGACTTGGGGATGAAGTCGCTGATTGGCGTGAAGGTGTCGAGACCTTTAGCGTGAGTCCATGGAAGTCCCGCCTTCTTGGCCTTGGCCTGCAGGTCGCGCGCTGTCATATCGATCGCCAACGCCTGACAAAAGGTCCCGTCATATATATTAATTCACAGGTCAGTCAGTAAAGCTGCATCCATTTTTACGTACGTAGCCGGCGACGTGATCCATGCTGGCGCTCTCGGCAATATCCTTTCCGCCCTTACCGATCACCACCTGCAGATCAACCCACAAATTAACCATAATAAGACCTAAATACATCGAGAGCTTAAGAAAAGATGACGTACGCCGAGCTCCACTTCGTGATGCACCTCTCCGATCCCAGGAGGTAGCAGCACACTGCCGCCGTTGCGCACGTAGCTGCTCAATGCATAACAATCTCGATTAAAAGGCATCTCAAAGGGCCATTCGTGCCCGACAAGTAGTATTTACCTGGTGGTGGGCTTGAGGAAGAGCACGGGGTCCTTCGGGGCGGAGGTAGCTCCCATTTCGCGCGCGTGGGCTTCATAATTCTTCCCGATCGCAATGATCTTCTTGCTGTTGGTAGATTAGTGGCATTTGTGTGTGAGGAATGGAAGGTGTGTGGGGGCTAATTACGATGTAGCACGGATTGGACCGTACCCGAAGTCGACGAACTGCTTAGCCTTTGTCATGACGGAGAGCTACTGAAAATGCATACACATCTCTTGATTGCATGTCACTCTTTTGAGGTTTGACACTAATTTTCATGTTGAAGTGACAGACGTGTATCTGTCGCCTGCATCGCTCGCATTCGTTCTTGCAGCGCCCTCGTCTCGAACTGTATGCGTCGTCGCTCAGCGTTCAAAAGCTCCTCATAGTTCGATCTGGAAAATACACGACGAAGTTTAGTTTAGCGCCAAGTTTTGCCTGTTGCTGTTTTGGTGCAACAACTCTTTCTGTGACGTACAACGAGGAGTGGACACGAAATCTCAGTGAACCAGGCGTTGGTGGAGGCACACATCCGCTTAACACTACAGCGCAATTCAGATTTTAGTTGTCTATTGACAAGAGCTGCCAACCCACAAGGTTCTTACCGCTCGTCGGATTGGAAACTTCTGGAATGCTCAGCATCTTCGAAGCCACGGCTTGTTGAAGCAAGCTAGTATCATTGTAGTCAAGAAATACTGCTGCCCGTGATCTCTCTTGATCGATTCTCTCTTTGTTTCTTCGAGCAGCCGCCTGAACAATGGCAATTGTTGATTTGCTGTGGCAGAAAATTTCGATTAAGGCCATCGTACCTGGTTTTCGAAAAAGAGTTGGCGAGCAAAGTCTGTCTCTGGTTGTATTAACCTAGGTGGCTTTGCGACGGGCATGTGCTGTACCTGGTCGTGATTACCGTCGCTGTTGTGGTCCACAGTGTGGATGGAGGGGTAGTTAGGAAATGGCGACACAGACTCCAAGGGTTTGATGACCTCGTGGAGATTAATTCTTGCACCAAACTGGTCAAGAAGCATGGGCTGGTGTGACGTCGCAACGCTGACTAGTTGCAGCATGTGGCGCTGGACGACGTCAGACTTTAAGATGTCCGATAAGCTTGGTCGTCTCTGCAAGTATATGTTACACACAATTTGAGCACAACGCATTGTCAACGATATCCATATTATCCACGTACGCTGGAATCTTTTTCGAGCAAATTAGACACAAGGGCCCGGAGCTGCGAAGAATACTGCTCAGAAATCGGAAGCAGCTCCCCGTGCAGAATCTTCCCAACAACTGCACCGAGTGCCGTCCCGTTGAATGGTGGAGTAAAGACAGCGAGCTCATACAGCACACAGCCGAGGCTCCACACGTCGCTTTTGTAGTCGTAGGCGCCACCTTCCAGAAGTTCAGGTGCCCTAACGAATGGTAAGGACAAGCCGTGAATATTAATGGTTAGTAGGAAGTATGATGAGGATCTAACTTACATGTAGTGCGGGGTTCCTGTCATGGTTTGTGCAAAGTCTAAAGAGCTCGTTAAGAGCTTGGATACGCCAAAGTCAGTCAATTTTACGATCCCGTCGCCATCCAACAGGATGTTCTGGCGATGGAGAATCGATACAAGTGTGACTCGATAAGATTACCGTCGAGCTGAATGACCGACTTATCAGATCAGCAATTACCTTAGGTTTGAGATCACTAAACCATGAGTCAAAACTCAATAATGAGTGACAGAACAAACAATGGTTAATATCATATTCATTGCCTTACCGGTGCATAACACGATGCTCGTGCAAGTATTGAAGCGCCAGCACGATCTGGATGAAGATACGCATTATTGCAGACTCGCTCAGACGACCACTACGAGCAGCACCATGGCAGTTTGTGAGAGCAGTAAACAAAAAGCTGGCCTCGAGATTGTGTAGGGGCTCACACGCTCTCTTGTTGCCACCGCAAGAATGCTTCCAAATCTCCTCCACTGGCATATTCCATCACAAGTGCCAACTGCGAATCCTTGTCAACGAGTTCGACGAATTGTATAATGTTAACATGCTGTAAGGTCATCAGTAGCTGAGCCTCCTGTCTTGCTGCCTGCCGTGCAGCATTGTCCTCTTCATGAGGGATTTTCGCGGCGAAGAGCTTACGATCCGATTTCCGACGAACGAGCACCACGTTACCAAACTGCCCAGTGCCTAGCACCGCCAGTGTTTCGTATCCGTCGATATCGTGCATTCTGCAGTGACCTCGATTTTAAAGTCCGTTACGGTCAAGTTGAAGCTAAGAATTCATCCAAGACGACCTGAAAAATGATCGGACAGCGTGCCTCCCTCTTTTGCTTCATTTGATCTGGTTTAGTGTACATGCATGTATCGTTGCTCTATTAGCTTGACGTTACTGTAAAAGGTGTGGTGTCTTACTGCGAGGACTCCACCTATACGCCTTACTCCCATTCAATGGTGGCAGGCGGCTTGGACGAGATGTCGTATACGACGCGGTTGACGCCACGCACCTCGTTAATGATGCGGTTCGACATGCGGCCGAGCACCTCGTACGGCATGTGGTACCAGTCGGCAGTCATGTAGTCCGACGTGCTGACAGCACGGATAGCAACGACCTTCTCGTACGTGCGGCCGTCACCCATAACACCCACAGACTTGACCGGCAGCAGGACGCAGAAGGCCTGACCGGTAGTCTTGTAATGGCCGCTGTTGCGCAGCTCTTCAATGAAGATCGAGTCGGCGTGACGCAGAGTCTCCAGAGCTTCGGGCGTGATCTCGCCAAGCACACGGATGGCAAGGCCGGGGCCCGGGAACGGGTGGCGCCACACACTGGGCTCGTCGATGCCGAGAGCCATTCCGAGCTCACGAACCTCGTCCTTGAACAACTCACGAAGCGGCTCAATGAGCTTCAGATGCATCTTCTCGGGAAGTCCACCGACGTTGTGGTGGGTCTTGATCGTGGCCGACGGGCCCTTGTACGAGATGCTTTCAATCACGTCAGGGTACAGCGTTCCCTGCAGCAAGAAGTCCACAGGGTGGCCGATACGCTCGGCTTCCTCCTGGAACAGCTCAATGAAAAGGTTGCCGATCGTCTTGCGCTTGGTCTCAGGCTCAGTGACACCCTTCAGAGCAGCCAGGAAACGGTCCGAGGCGTCAATGCATTTGAGGTTAATTCCCAGCTTAGTCTGCAGGCGGTCAACGACTTCCGTGGCTTCATCCTTACGCAAAAGGCCGTTGTCGATGAGCACAGCGTGGAAGCGGTCGCCCAGAGCACGCTGCAACAGCACGGCAGCAACGGAGGAGTCGACACCACCACTGACGGCGCCAATGACGTGACCCTCGGGGCCGACGGTCTCGCGCACCTCCTCGATGAAGGCGTCGGCGATGCTGCGCATGTCCCAGTCCGTGGGCGAGTTACAAATGTTGACCACGAAGTTACGGAGGATGTCCTTGCCGCGCGGGCTGTGGGTCACCTCCGGGTGGAACTGGATGCCGTAGAACTTGCGTGCCACATTGACGATGGCGGCGTGTTCCGAGTTTTCGGTGGTCGCGATGTCCACGAATCCGTCCGGGTTCTGGTGCAGCTTGTCGCCGTGGCTCATCCACATCTGGAACTCGTCCGGGAGGCCCTCAAACAGACCACCGCAGTCCACGCCGTTCTTGCGGGTCACGATGGCCTTGCCGTACTCGCGGTGCTGCGACGGAGCCACCTTTCCGTTGTTGGTGAAGGCCAGCTCCTGGAGACCATAGCAGATACCAAGCACAGGCAGCTTCTGCTCCTCGATAAGCTTCCATACTTCCGGGTGCACGTGGGGAGCGCCCTCATCGAAGACGGACTGCGGACCGCCAGACAGGATGATACCAGTGAGCTGGTGCTGACGCAGCTCGTCGGCGCTCACCAGGCACGAGTAGAGCTCGCAGAATACGTGCAACTCACGCACACGACGTGCGATAAGGTGGCTGTATTGCGAGCCGAAGTCCAGGATGGCCACCTGCTTGCGGTTGGTCACGGGGGAGGTGTCGGCCATGTTGAACGGGGTCGGAGGAGTGTTCGGCGTGTTCGGTTCTGACCAGCAAGTGGCTCACAACCAGTAGGCGGACACCATGACGTACCTCCACCAGCCAGCCACACGCAGCCAATCAGCTGTCAGAATGTTATAAGATGGCTACATCTAGCCATTTTTATCCACCAATCACAGCGCTCAATCCGAAACGACGCGCAGCCCTAATTGATCCGAGGACGGACTTTTTGAAGCTGCAGCGGCTTGGCGTAGTGCGGCGACGCCCAGTGACGACATGCGCGGGTTCTGCAACAGCACGAGCGTCTCCAGTTGACTCGATGCCAGTGTTGGAGCCAGATAGGCCAACACGCCGCGGTCCGACAGGAAGTTGCGGCTCAGCGCCAATACGCGCAGCTGACTGTCGGCCAATAGAGCTCGTGCTAGAGCGGGGCAAGCAGCGTCCGCGATGTGGTTCCCACTGAGGTCGAGCTTCCATAGCGCTCGGTTGTAGGTCAGTGCCTCGAATAGCGCGGCAGCACCGGCGCTACCCACTTGGCAGCGTTCTAGAACCAGTTGTTGCAAGCAGCTCGGATTCTGAGCTAATGCACACGCGAGGGACACGACGGACGCAGGAGCGAGCGGGACGTTAGCCAGTACGACAGACACAAGCGCGAGGTTGGAACTGTGCCAGCTGCGCCGCAATATGGTTGCTAAAACGGACGCGTGGGAAGCTCGGAGTGGCGCGTTGCACAGGATGAGAGACTGCACAGGGCAGTTGGAGGGGGAGCTGGAGCACGCGTCGAGTGCGTCCACGACCTGCTCGTTGAGGTTCAGCAGTGAGTTGCTGGACGTTGAACTGGTTGTGAAGAGACCACCGCCACTGTCGACAATTATGCTGGTGGAAAGCGAAATGAGTTGTCGGAGCTGGGGTCCCTTGAACACTGTGCCGCCGCTGGATGGAACAGTAGTAAGTTGCCTGCTTCGTGGGCTATTAATTTTACTAGAGTTTACCTGTACGAGAGCTGGCATATTCCGGTTTGGCGCACACGATTGAGAAGCGTGTAGAAGAGCATGGACGGAATCTCGGCGCGCTGCAAACAAGTCAGGAGATTAGTGATCATTATACGCGTTGACAGAATGGAATAGCTTACCTCCTCGAGTGTGAGAGGCTTGTCCAACTTGATTCCAGGAACAGTACCAGGCTTTCGCTGGCCACTGACAGGTGTGGGTTCTCTTGACTTGGTCAGTGATGAGCTGCGCACTTGCAGCACACTCTTTTCAAGTAGAGCCGCGGCCTCCCACTGACGGAAGCAACGCTCCAATGGCTTTTGTGATGCTGCCGCCAATAATCGTGTCTGGGCAGCCTTTTTGGCCATGATACAACGTGCTTGGCGCTGTGCACGGTGACGACGGAATGTTCGCTGTAAAAGACAAGCTGCCTCGTACTGCTCTCGTTTTGTCGCTCGCGTGGCTTCTCGCCAGCCATAAAACAATCGACACACTCGTTGGAACGCTATTTTCTTTGCCGCTTTCTTGCCACGCTGAGCAGCTACCGAATGCCTGTCAAGCGTGCTGAGGTACCGTCGACGCATCAACCAGCATCGGAGTCGGCGTTGAATTTTGATTGCTGCAGCGTTTCGCCGGGATTTTTTGGCGTTGCATTCTGCACGAAGTTGTCGGAAGAAGCTCCGTGCTAGGGTGTAGAAGCTCTGTTGCAGTCTACCCAGTAGACGACGTTGCGCCGCTCGCTTTTCAAGTACTAGAAGTGTACGAGAGCGCTTTCGCCTATGCCTCCACCACCGCTGCACCTGAATTACAGCAGCATGACGCAGTGAGATGCACCGGGATAGAGCTAGCAGACATGCCCATAATTTGATATCCCGGGGCTGGCCCTTAAGCCCACTGCCAAATGTTACGGCCCCATTGACCAGCATTTCTGCCACACGCCGTCGATGGAGCTTTTGGCGAGTGAAAAATCCCCGAACGAGTCCCTGGATGCGTATTACAGCACCATATCTCCTTTTGTGGTAGGCTTGAACACACTGACGAAGAAGGTCGAATACTGTTTGCAGCAGCTGGGATTCGCGTGAACGCGTGAGCTCCGCAAGGACATTGAGCGCTCGTCGACGGCGCGTTCGAACCCGTTTAGCTTGCTTTCGAGCGAGTACGCCCCTCATGTGCTTCTGGATATTCACAGCCGCACCTCGTTTCCGCAGACGACGGACGAGCGCGTGGTTTGCGAGTGCCCGCCAAGAATTTAACAGCAGTTGTCGCCTGCGATCCGAAACCAAGCGATTCATCGTGGCTGTTGCAGCCCGGTGGCGTCGCAACTCGACATGATACTGACGAACTGCTAACCTTGAGCGATATCTTCGTTGAATGAGTCGTGAAGCCCAGTCACGTTGCTTTCGACCCTCAACAAGTTCTGTATGCCACGCTTGAAACACACGTGATAACACGGATGCTGAGCGTCGGGCAAGACACTGCTGCAGAATACTATTTTGTTGTCGACGCAGAAACAGCATCTGTTTACAGAGCTTGCGGCTGCGCCAGGCTCGAAATTGTCGCTGAATGAGCACAGCAGCATTGAGGCGCTCCTGCTTTTGAGTGAGAACAAAACTGCGCCACCGACGGAAGACTCCAAGTTGACCAAGCTCGGTACGACGACCAGCAAACCTCGCTAAGAGAGCCTCGCGTTCAATTTTTCGAGCACGGAGAGCTCGAACTGTGTGTTTGTCTCGCGCGATCTGAAGCAGTGATTGGATTTTCCTTGCGGCGGCATTCAGTTGTAGCTCGATCAGTCTGTCGTCTTGGTCACCCATGGCAATATTCTCAAGTTCCTCCTTCTCTCGTTGCTTCTCGCACAAAAATGCAAGTTCCTGTCGGGCTTTTAACCCTCTCCATGCGCATTGAATCCGTAATGCCATCGCATGGCGGCGCTGCTCCAACACATAAGCGACACCGAGACGCCACTTCGCCAACCTCCAACACTGCCGAATAAATGCTTGCAAACGTGCTGCACTCCTGTGCTCCAAAGCGAAATGTGTTCGCCATGAAGGACTGCATATCTCCAATAAGAATCGCTCATGACGGGCGATATAGTATTCATCCCGAGGCAGCCGCAAAAGCGCTTCAGCGAATACCTTTTCTGCACCCGGATCGTCCCCAGTACGTAGCAAACTTGCACCTTCCAGAAGAAGCTTTGCACCAGGGAGTTTAACTGACGCTGGGTTCATCCTGCGTCGAGCTTCACGAAGAGCTGAAAGAACTAAAAGCGGGGCATTGGCTGGTCCAGCGAGCCGCTGCGCTAGATCCAACCACGTCTGAACATCACGACACCATAATAATGTTCGCTGCTCTTCGTTCTTTCGCGACGTCGTGAATAATGTGTGCGCAGTCTTCTCTGATGGCAACACGGGAGGAAGTGCAACAAGAGCTTTGTACGCTTGAGTGTAAGTTTCACGCTCTAGTGCACGCATGCCTGGCACTCGGGAGAGCTCTAAAGCTGCTAGCAAGCTGAATTGATACGCTGCAAGTCGATACGGGAGCGATGATTGTCCTTCGGCAAGATACTGAAAGTACTGCGCGCTCTCTCGATGGCAATCCATAGCTGATGCTGTTAACGCTGACAAGAAAATGGACTCATTGAGCCGAGGTGATGTCGGATAGCCTTCAACAAGCAGTGTGCATACAGCAAGAGCACCACGGTATGAACCAAATTCAATGTAAAGCCTCACGAGCTGTAGCAGCAACTCTGGGCTCGATTTGCTGCTCGGGTACTCCATCGCAATGAGAAATGTGCTATAGGCCTCTTGTAGGAGTATGGTGTGCAGTGGCTTGGCATTGGCAGTTAAGTCACGGGGTCGTCGGGACTGTGTAGTTGATGAAATCTCGAGAATGGAAGGCATGTGTAATGCCCTCACGTGGGCTTCCCATAGCTGGAATTCTGTGATCGCAAGCTCAGCCCAAAGTTTCTCCGAGTCGGCTTCGTTCTGCCAAATAGTTCATCAGTATGAAATACTTCAGTATCACGGAAGGAGATGAATTTGTGCTCACCTCGATGATCGCTTCCAAAGCATTTACGGCATCTTGATACAGCCCACAATGCCGATCCTGGAGTGCTTGAGTATAGGCCTCTTTGGACTCTTCGCTCGAGAATGTTAAACCCGTATCATCTTTGATAGCTGCTGTTGCTGTGTGTATATGATTCATCGCTCGAGTAAATCGACACTATCATTGAGCTCTTGATCACCAGTTGGCTTGTGCTCCAAATTTAAACTAACGGACGTCTAGGTTAGCGTTGGTTGGAGGTGCAACGAAGAAGTTGTCCAGCTCCAACACAATGCGAATGCTCTTGCTGCAAAGTTCAAGTAGCTCTGGTCCTCGGACATGTGCTTTAACAAGTCTTGCCATTTCGAGAAACGGAATCATAGTTTCAGCGCGTCGAGCAGAGGTGCCCCGTGGTAGCCTTTTGCTTTGGTCATCAAACTCCAACTGCTGCTCCGTTTTGTTCACTTCATGCTCTAACGAGCAAAAAATGCTACGACATGGTCGATCCTTAGAGTGCTCAGCGTGTGGAGGTTGCACAAACTCGTTAAATCGTTCTATCCACGAGGCCACAAACATCGGATCCGTCACGAAGCCTGCCGTATCATGGTCGAGGAACTTGTGCACCAATTCGCTAAGCTTCGTAAAACGGAGTTCGAGGCTTAAATCCTTCGTGCTCCTAGTAAAAAGAAGCAGGTTTTTCCACCCAGCATCAGCCCAGCGGAGGGGGTTCAGTAAAGCACCCAAGGCCTTTACACACGGTTCATTCAGCGTCGACGTTATCGAGACGGAGCCTTTAACTAGGTCACCAAGTGATCCTGTACCACCAACTTTGTCAGTTTTCATGAATTAGGTATATGAATTAGCAGAATAATGTTCCTACCAAGTCCAAGTCGACGGATCATCTCGAATAGTCTTGCCGCTGGATAATTTTCGTACGTTGCCATGAATTTTTCAAAGGATATTGTTGAGGTCCCGCCGAACAACTCGGCTAGTGTCGCTTCAAGCAAAGCTTCTTTACCAAGTGCCTGTTGGAAAGCGTTAAACTCCTGAAAGCTCCATCCACCATTGTGGTCAGCGTCGAAAGCATCAAAAATCATCCTCATCACGCGTTCACGGTGTTGACTTTTTCCCAGACTTAACAGCAGTACTGCCATTTCCTGTGAACGATCCAAAACATCCGAAAGCGATTGATCTAACTCGCCCAGTACAAAAAAACTATGAATTCCAGCAGCAAACGATAAACCCGTGCACTCCTAGATTGTACCGAAAGAAAAAATATCAGCGACGATCAAGAAAAATGCGGGGTTTTTTGTCCTGCTCAACAAAATAATAACTTACCTCGAGATTAAAAATGAAATCCTCGCGGAAGTCGATACAGACGCGTAGATACGCGCCGACAACAGGCTGAACCCCTCCTCCACCACGTATCGCTGACTGCACCGTAACTACGGCCATGATACAAACCGCAAGTTAGTATTTTTATTAGCATGATCGTACCGCCGTCGTGAACCTGAGATGTTTGTCCAAAGCGATTCAAATGATGACCACACGCGGTCTTGCTGCATTGCCTTCTCCACCGAGGACGCCAAATCAATTCCTTCCTCATCTGCGTTCGACATCGCGAGATCAAGTTGGACCTTATTCCAGAGTGCAGTGTAGATAAGACCCTTACCAGTGATCTCCGGATTCAATAAGAAATTTACGACCAGGCGCATAGCATCGATGTCCGGATCCTCAGGCTGGCTGTCATCACTGTCATAATCGAATCGCCCATCCTTCTCACGTTTGGTTCTGTTGGTTTTGACTTCTGCATCGCTATTCGGTGGATAAATTCCCAGTCGGAACCTGATATTATTTCCAACAGAAGCCCCGACGCGTTTTAAAATCGGAGAACTAGTCGGTGCTTGCACTGGCGTCGCGTTCTCACCAATATGAATGTTAACATTCCACTGGAGTTCCCCATCATCAACATCAGACTTTAGGTTGACGTTCGGTAAGCTCTCAAGGAGGCGATCCTTAGCTACAACTGTCCGTCGACGGCCAGTAGTTACCACCGCTTTCACGGTTCTTTTATCCAAAGCAGCCAGTAAAGCATCCATGCGCTCTTCCAGGCTTGCCACGCCCTCGATGACAAAATCGCTCACAATCTCCCAAAGCGCCTCTGGTTTCTCGCGTTGTCGATTTTGTACCCATCCTGTCATGACGCGAAGGATGTCTCCACATCGCACAAGTCCGAACTGGTCCACCATCATATCTCTAACAAGTACTGTCGCCTACAGACGAATCAAGCAAGGTGACGGTGAATTTTGCATCGTTGATAAATCCGAACTGCATTCACCAACCTCTGTCCGTGAGAGCGACAGACCACCGTCCGATGCAACCTTGACCAGCCGCTGCAGGGTGCGAGTATCGACACACTTTTTCATCTCAACAGCAGGGAGCACGCATATCGACTGGTTTGACCCCATTGGGGGAGGTGGACACACTATACTCTGAAGTCTTCGAGCGAAACTTTCGGCTGTGGAAGCTGGTAGGGCCGTTAGTGCTCGCTGGCCGTCAGTGACTTTGCTAGGCCCACTGCCTCGATCAACTACCGCCGTTGGTCTTATCCTCTCGTCTGACAAGATCAAAGGTGCAAAAGAACATTAAAATCAGCAACAGTGAAGAGCTGAATGCCAAGACAAAGCAGAAATACCTGACGTCGTCACTCGTGCAGCTTGATAGTCCAGGTAGGCCATGTGCTTCATAAGCTTACCCTGCTGGACTAATAGTTCACCAGAAGATGTTGCTACACCCTGCATACACCCGACAGAAACAGCATGAAGTCAATCATTTTATGTCATGCATGGCTGATACATGTATCAAAGCCTCACCGCCTCTAGATCACTCATGAAGAATAGAATCTCTGGATCTGCGAGAGCTTTATTAACGACAGTTTGCCGTAAGACCTCATCATTGTCACCAAAAAGACCTGCGCCATTGTATACAAATGACTTTAGCATTCGTTTCCATTCTTCATTGCGCATTGTGCGTCCGTACGTCGAATTAGCGGTCTCATTGTGGCCTCCTGCAGCACATCAGCTCCAGGAGCGAACATTTTCAACCCTCTCGAAGCTGACGACACAATTATCGTCAACTCGCACTTGTTGAGAGTCTTCAGTCCTCCATTGTCTAGCAGTGAAAGTACAACTAGATGCACAGAAGTTAGGTTTGCTTTCCAATTCTTTTCTCACCTTCTGCGTGACCTCACACTCGAGTTTTTGGGGCTTCTTGGCATCAACGAGGAGTGCCAGCCCGCTAAAGAAATCCATGACAGCCAGCTTCCTCGTGCCTTTCTGATCCAGCGCCTCGAACATGGCCAGTAGTTGCAACATATCCTTATCCGGACAAAGTGGCGTCACGATGGCTTGGAATACGGGAAACGGCAGAAAATACTGGAACACAAGGTCGGATCGGCGGCGATGCACCTCCTGTTGGAAGCGCAGATGCAGTTGTTCCAGCTCCGGCCACGAGCGCGGCACTAGCGGCCGCAGCTTCCAGCGTACTCCGCCGCCGTCCCCACCCTTCGACTGGCTCACCCCCATTATCGGATACGGAATGTCTTCAGCTTCAACATCGCTCGGATTGGATGAAAATTACGCAATTTTGACCAATACGACGCATGCTGAAAAGTTACAATGGATGTTGCAATGGATTTTTCCTTTCTTGTAGTGAGGAGCTCACCATAGTCAAAGAGTGCCCGCTGCCGTGATGGAGAACAGGTTCATCCCGCAGGCGATTGAGATCGTGACGGAGGCCATTAAGGAGGACAACAGCAAGAACTACCAGGAGGCCTTTCGCCTGTACAAGAAGGCGCTGGAGCACTTCATGATCGGCGTCAAGTGTACGTTTGCCGGCGATGTACATTGCTTCAGTGAATTAACTGACCTGCCTTCAATGTGCTGTACAGACGAGAAGAACCCGACGTCGAAGGAGATTATCATGAAGAGAGTGGAGGGCTACATGACACGCGCGGAACAGCTGCGGGGGATGCTGGAAAAGGAGACAGCGCCCAAGCCTGTGGCAGCTGTAGTAGACATGGATAAGTGAGTCAACATCGAGTAAATTTTTTAAGCGAGCTGATGGTATTGGTGCTGCTGTTTGCAGAGGCGATAAGGAAGATGACGATGAGACGGATGCGGAAACAGCCAAACTGCGCGGCTCGCTGGCCTGTACGTTGTCCAGATGATGGATTTTTAATCGATACTGTAGCGAATTGACGGGCATTTGGATGATGTTACACAGCGGCGGTCGTGTCAGAGAAGCCAAATGTTAAATGGGACGACGTTGCTGGACTGGATGCTGCGAAGGAGGCACTGAAAGAGGCAGTCATTTTGCCTGCACGTTTCCCGCAGCTCTTCACGGGGAAGCGGCGTCCATGGAAGGGAATTCTGCTGTATGGGGTAGGATTTGAGCATTTTATGTGGACCCTGATGAAGTTTAATGTGCGTTCACCTGCTCGTTCTGTAGCCGCCAGGTACGGGTAAGTCGTATCTTGCCCAGGCCGTCGCAACAGAAGCAGACGCCACGTTCTTCTCCGTCTCATCTTCTAGCTTGGTGTCGAAGTGGCAAGGCGAAAGCGAAAAGTACGATACTGAAGTACTACATTATAAACTCTAGTATTGACGACTCACGTGTGCCTTTGTCTTGTAGATTGGTTAAGAACCTCTTCGAAATGGCGCGTGAGAAGAAGCCTGCCATCATTTTCATAGATGAAATCGACTCGCTGTGCTCGAGTAGATCCGAAGGTGAAAGCGACTCGACGCGCCGTATCAAGAATGAATTTCTCGTTCAGATGCAAGGCATAGGCAACAAACATGACGGCGTTCTGGTGCTCGGAGCTACTAACGTACCATGGGAACTTGATCCAGCAATGAGACGACGGTAAATATTTTGCATTTCGACAGAAGAATGTCCTGGCAGCTGACTACTTCTACCTTCAGATTCGAGAAGCGCATATACATCCCACTCCCTGATATCGAAGCGAGGAAGGTGATGCTCGGGATCCACTTGGGCGACACGCCGAACGAGCTGAGTGATTCCAACTTCACGGCGATCGCAGAGAAAACAGAAGGGTACGATAACACTTTTCTTCACCGTAATGGTCGAGATATTCTTTGAGTCTGATGTTATTTTCTGTCGTGTCCTTAGCTGTTCTGGTTCAGATATCTCGGTGCTTGTCCGAGATGCGCTAATGGAACCTCTCCGAAAATGTCAACAAGCTCAGTTTTTTACTCCGGTGGGGCTGATGACTTATCGCCGGTACACGTGCGTCGCGGTGTTCTGACATTACCTTCTTTTGTTTCCTTCTATGTTTCAGTGTGATGATAAGGCACACCCTGTTCGCAATGGTCCATTCTTGACACCTTGCGAAGATGACCCTCCATGCGCATACTGCCACATGAAGCTCTCTACATGCCGCCCGAAGTGCCCGGAATGTAAAGCCCCGTGCCAACGATGCGGAGCTCTGCGCATGCGGCTATACGACCTGCCAGAGCGTGGCTACTCTGATGAAAAGCTGCGACCACCGATGATCTCGATGGTGAGAATTTGTGTTCGTTCACTTTCAGTTTGGTTTTGCTTGCTGACTCGTGCATTTTACTCGCGCACCAGAGCGACTTTACACGTGTGTTGGAGCACTCAACAGCAACAGTTGCCTCTGACGAACTCAACCGCTTCGTGAAGTGGACGCAGGAGTTCGGACAAGAAGGCTAGATCAACACATTAGACAGATGATTCCGTCACATTTATCTCTCCAAGACCGTGTCAATATACTACCTCGTTGACAGCTTATTTCTGCGTTTCGGACAACGATTCAATCAGACCGTCCAGTTCGTCGGCTGAAAAATGATGTGCATCATTACAAAAATGGCAAGTGAGATCCACACCAGCGCTGCCTACGTCGGTAGCAATTTGCTTCAGATCCGAGGCTCCCATGTCCTTAAGACGATGTGCGTAGTTGTCCTTGGAGCAGCGGCAATAGTAATCCAGGGGCACGCGCTTGCAGTTATTGTCCGTTATGTCAGCTCCAGGGATCAGTTCGTTCAGATACTCGAGCAGGTCGGTGTTTTTCTTCAATTCAGAGGCATAGAACGGGAGTTTGTCGAATGCCAGGTCATCTAACTCATAGTGGCGCTCGTGTGCCTCCGTTGGAGGCATTTTTTGGACGATAAGACCACAGCTGCGCGTGTGATCTTCGTCGGCCTCACTATCGATGCGTACGATAGTCGGAACCTGCTCCGATATGTCGAAAAACCTCTGCCAGTCCAGTTCAGGTACCCCAGACGCCTCAATGGACGTGTTATACGGCTTCGCTGCGCCATACAAAATCTTGGAAATGTGCATATGCCCTCCACGTTCCGGAGCTCCAGCAAGTGACTGATCCACGTAGACGGCTTTGCCACGAACCTATTCAACAAAACACGCGTGGATAAGCTCGCTTTCCTTCGGCTGTACGCCAATATAGCACGAGCTACGCTTTACCTCTCCGACGGCCATTGCCTCGATATATAGCTCCTGGATGTTGGGCGTCTTGACCATCATCTTGACCCGCTCCTCACCCTTGAAAAAGGAGCTGAGCATGGCAGTGCCTGCCATGTACTCGCCCCAGAGCTTTGTACCTTCGGAGATGAGCGGTAGCCCCCATCGCCGTGATACCTCCTCCACCGCATTGCGTGCCATCACTCCAGACACTCGCAGGTTGCCAACATGGCAACGAACCACCACGTCACGCAGTGGTCTCTTCCACATGATTGGCTTGCCAACCGCTGATCAATTTGTGTGATGTAGATGATGTACGGTACACAGAAGTCGCCTATCTTGGTAATCAACAAGTTGCTTTCTTTCGCTGGAGCAGGAGCTGCCGGCCAATGACTTGGCAACGAATGCGATCCTTCTCTTGCAACTGGAGCACCTTGCATTGCTTCCGATAGCCCGAGGAGCCGCCTTCTCCACCAGCGGTTAGTTTTCTGGACGACAGTTCACGCTCGATCACATTCACGGCTACTTTCTTTTGTTGCGGTGGAGGAAATAGTGAGGCCACGTCGATTCTACCGCCACCACCAGCATCGCAACTAGATGGTGAACCTTGAGCTCTTGCCACTTTCTCGCACGAGCGAATCTGCTCCCACATGAAAGGAAGTGTCACAATGGTGTTAAATCTGCTCACGTCAGAGCTCCTGTTATCATCGATAGGCGTGTGGTCTGTGGTCTTACACCCGCGCATCGAAATCTCGTCGGCACTGAAAATACGCGCGCCACAACACGAATACTTTGCCGCTGGACCGTGATCAACAATTGAGCCGAGGTGATAGGCGCAGTCTTGCAGCTCAAGTAAGGTGCACTTCTGCTTGCACACAAGGCATTGAAAGTATTTCGTGGAGCCCCAGATGTACCAGTATGCTGCGCTCCAAAAAGTGCTCTTGTCGGCGCCAAGGTCTCGTAGAAACGTCTCGACTTGCCACCCAGCTTTGGCTTGATGCCGCCCCACCAATTCGCCATATACACCGATTTGACGCCTACCTTTATGACAACCTACGCTCTCCCGTTCGCCCTTAATAAAAAGCAACTCACAATTTATGCATAGATCGAGTCGTCGGCCACCATCTTGAACATTTTTCACCAGTGCCTCGACCTTCTTTCGCCGCAGCTTTGACAAGATTTTGTCCTTGGGGTCGTGTAGCGTCTGCAGCAGCTCGGGCGTGCAGTTATTAGCGATCTTGGAGACGGCAATGTCCGATAGACAGCCAAAGTCTACGCGCAAAAGCATGAATTCCTGTACGCGCCCCGAGATGAATGTCACACATTCTTCCACGAGCTCCTCCATCTGCAGGAACTCGGAGGATACGAGGATGGACGCTATGTTCTCCAATGTGATACGCGGTCGCCACTCGTTATCGCGCTGGTGCATGTATTCCACGAGAAGCTCGAATATCTCCACGTCGCAGTGCACGGAGATGTCGATCTCGTCGTGTTCGTTGGCCTCGTTTAGATACGCCTGGAAGTACTTCATCTTGGCCAGCAGCAGGTCGCGCTGGCATGTGAACTCCTTGCTGCTCTTGCGGTACTCGTCGAACACATGAATAGTCACGTTGCGAGACGGCAACGATGTAGGCAAAGCATCGCTCGTGGCCGTGGAGAATAGCAGCTTGTTAGTCGACTTCATCAGGAATGGTCCACCCCGCGCCGTTTGGCTGCAACTTGAAGGACCATCACTCCGAGATCTCGAATTGATTTGAATCAAAAATTTCAGTTTAACTTGAATTTCATAAGGTGAATCTGGCTAAAGCAGCTGTCATTTCAGTCCGTGGGAAAGTCATGCGAGGTTTTTTATCTGATACCATTAAACCTCTTGATATTTGTAAGGATCCTTTTTCTTTGCGGGATGTGGACCACACTCAGTGTTTTTATTGGCGGACAGTACCGCGAAGCCTTCGAGAAGGGGAAACAAGAAAAGAAGCAGCGCAGCTCCAAGCGCCAGCGTCCCGGCTCCGAGAGAGAAAGCAGATCCAACTACAGTAGCAAGCATGTCGTTCCCCGCAGGAAAAGCACCGGAGCGCAAGAACCTGTTTAAGAAGGGAATTGACGCGGATGAGTCGCGTCGCAGCCGAATGGAGACGACGGTGCAGATCCGCAAGACCATCAAGGAGGACCGCATGAACCAGCGTCGCCGCATGGTACTAAAATATGCAGCTGCAATAGGAAATAAGGAGCAAACGTGGATTGGATAGACATCAGTCTCCGCTGTTGGAATGCAGGCTGCAAGTCTAGAGTCGCGTCGTATCTTACAGTGTTGATTTGGAATGGGAGAGGAATGGGTGGCTCACTTTTTGTTATTGTTGGTGTAGGCACCGGCAGACAATGGAGCTGCGGCGACGGCCACTATGGGAGATGCCGCCGGCGAGATGACGCTGCAGCAGCGGGTAAGAGGAACTGGATACGCCTATACCTGGAGACTAGATACTGACCTTTGTGTGCTGTGGTTGCGTTGCAGCTATCGGAGCTTCCCGAGATGGTGGCTGGCGTGCAGTCGGGCGATGCGGCTGTACAGCTCGAGGCGGTAACCAAGTTCCGCAAGTTACTGTCCATTGGTGAGCTTGGGATATTGCCTGCACGTTAACGTACTGGAAGGAAGAAAGGGCTAACTCTTCTGATTAATTTCTTGCAGAGCGCAACCCGCCGATTAAGGAAGTGATTCAGACCGGCGTTGTCCCTATTTTCGTGCAATTCCTTCAGCGCGAAGACTTCCCGACTCTACAGTTCGAGGCCGCCTGGGCTTTGACTAATATTGCGTCGGGTACCTCTGCAGATACCGAGGTAGTGATCAGCCATGGCGCTGTGCCTATTTTCTGCCAGTTGCTGCTGTCCACGAACGATGATGTGCGCGAACAGGCTGTGTGGGCCCTTGGTAACATTGCCGGTGACTCGATCGAGTGCCGTGACATGGTTCTGCGTTGCGGTGCTCTGCGCCCTCTCATGCAGCAGCTGACGGAGAACTCCAAATCGACGATGCTTCGTAATGCTACGTGGACGCTGTCCAACTTCTGCCGTGGCAAGCCACAGCCGCAGTTCGACCTTGTGTCACCCGCACTCCCGACTCTCGGCCAGCTCATCTACACTCACGACGAGGAAGTGCTAACGGACGCATGCTGGGCTCTGTCGTACCTGTCGGATGGCTCGAACGAAAAGATTCAGGCAGTGATTGAGGCTGGTGTGTGCCGACGAATTGTGGAGCTGCTGATGCATCACTCTCCTTCCGTGCAGACGCCCGCACTGCGTACTGTCGGTAACATTGTGACGGGCGACGATCTGCAGACGCAGGTCATTATTAACCTGAATGCGCTGCCGTGCCTGCGTGCTCTTCTGGAGAGCCCCAAGAAGGGCATCCGGAAGGAGGCGTGCTGGACGTTGTCCAACATCACGGCCGGCAACCAGGAGCAGATCCAGTTCATTATTGAGGCCGACATTTTCCCGTCCCTGATCAACTTCTTGTCGACTGCTGAGTTCGACATCCGCAAGGAAGCCGCGTGGGCTGTGTCGAACGCCACTTCTGGTGGATCTGCGGAGCAGATCATGCACCTTGTGAGTCTTGGTAAGTTGAAAGGCTTTTCGATTGCCGAATTTTTCATAGTTGTTAATTCTGTTGATTCTGCTCTTCCCAGGGTGCATCAAGCCTCTGTGTGACCTGCTGGAAGTGAAGGACGCGAAGGTTGTGATTGTGGCTCTGGAGGGTCTCGAGAACATTCTGCGGGCGGGTGAGTCGCAGAAGACCAACGACATCAACGACGTTGCCACGATGATCGATGAGGCGGACGGTGTCACCAAGATTCAGGCGCTGCAGTACCACGCCAATGAAGGTGCGTTTGAGCTAGAGGTCGAGTACTGCTGAAATGGTTTGCCTTACTATTTGGTTTATTTGTATCGACAGACATCTACTTGAAGTCCATGAAGATCGTGGAGCAATACTTCAATGGCGAGGAGGATGCGGAGGATAGCCTAGCGCCTGACACGGATGCAAACGCACAGCAGTTCCAGTTCGGCACAACCTCGGACCAGCCCACCATGTTCCAGTTTGGCCAGAACTGATTCAGGCAACCAGGAAAACGATGAGGTAGAGAGTAATGGAAGGCGGACTCGATAAACCATTGGACGGACGCTGTTGAACACCCCAGGGAGATAGTACTCGTGCAAAATTAATTTCCCTGTTTGCTTTTTTTTTAGTCGTGTGGCCTCCTCATCGTTTCAACTTGCGAGGACTTTGAAGATGTGCTGATGCCTGTCGGAATGTTTTCTGCACAAGATGAATATCAGAGTGTACACGTACCAGCTACTGTGTGCGAACGGATGAAATCACGGCAAGTTGTAGATGTAGATTTAGCGGAATTTCTGCAACTAGAATTTTAGAATGTAAATTTGGAAATTCAGATAAGAAGTACTTTTTTTTAATCTGAACTTCCAAATTTTGAATCAACTAAAAGCCGCCCAAACCAACCGGAGGATGTCGGACGAGCAGGCGCGCACCACCATGGAACCCCCGAGTCTGGAGCTAAAGCAGCTGGGCCGCGAGACCAAAAATCTCAAGCATAAGCACAAGAGCAAGCGCACCAGCAAGTGTGACGCGAACAAGAGTGGGGAGCTCAAACGATCGCCATCATCCGCGGCGTCCCCCGGCCGCCACCACGTCCACTCCAAGCGCAACTCCAAGGCCAATCGCGAGGATGCACTGCGAGAACTGCTGGCGGGAAAGATCGCGGAGATTGAAGTGGGCGGCGATGAGAATCTTGAGGCTCCTATTGACCTCTCGGGAATCTACCAGGACGAGACACTTGCGATGAGGCTGAAGAATCAAGCGGAAGCTCTGAAACAGAAGGCAGACATGCCTGCAGAGGAGAAGGTGACAGAGCTCGTCAATAGTATCACGCAGGCGGTATGTTATGACTATATAGAGGTGATGGCTGTGAAGCTGTGAGGCTGACGGGAGTTATGACAGAGCGAGCAGCTGGAGCTGATGCAAAAGAAGATCAGCGAGCTGAACGCCAAGTGCATCCTCCTGAAGCAGCGCAAGAGTGCAGGTGTGTATATGTTCCTTTGCATTGCTGAGTTGTTTCATGTGTTTTACTAGCGTCTGTGCTTGCTACAGTGAGCACCGAGCTGGTCAAGACGAACACGTCCAAAGTCAAGCTGGAGCAGCTCTGTCGTGAGCTGCAGAAGCAGAATAAACTCATTGTAGTATGTGGATCTTAGTCACTAGTTGTTTGCAGTTTTTTTCACGATAACATTTATCTGCTTCATACAGAGTGAGAGCCGTCGTATCGCTGACGAAGAGGACCAGAAGAGGTACGCTATGGATGGGATTTTGATAATATCTTGCTGTATTTGAGCTTTATTTCAATTCAAAATAATTTCTATTTGTTAAATTGCAGGCGCGAACTGTCAGCACAGTTTCAAAAAACGATCGAAGATGTGAGTGCCAAGATGGACAAACAGGGCCAGGACTACGTGGCTTCGTTGAAAGAGAACGAAAAGTACGTTGTGTTATGAACTATTACCAACGAATCGTACCTAAGTATTTCTAACTTATTTATTTGTCTGCATTAATACGCAGCCTTCAGCAAAAACTGAAGACATTTCTGGAGCAGTACACGGTGCGCGAAGAACACTTCCAGCGTCAACTAGAAGCCAAGGACCTAACTGTCCAGCTTGCAGAGACGAAGCTGCAACACCAGGTGGAGCTCACCACTCGCGAGGCGGAGAAGGTGAAAATCACCCTTGACAAGGCGAAAGAGTTCTCGGATCGCGAGATGGAGCTGCAAGCGCAACTCAACTCGTACTCTGAGAAGTTCGATGTGGTGCAGGAAACACTGACGAAGAGCAATCAGATGTTCACCACCTTCCGTGAAGAGATGGACAAGATGGCAAAAACGACCAAGAAGCTAGAGAAGGAAAACCTTGCGCTTAGAACAAAGTGCGCTGCGTACGACAGCGGTGCGATTGCTTCTATTCAAGAGAAGGTAGCATCTGCTGAGGAGACGCTTAAGCTACAAGAGAAGGTCAAGAAGCTCGAGAGTCTGTGTCGCCATCTTCAAGCCGAGCGCAATAGCATTCGACAAGCCCAGCAAGTTCAAACTACTGGCGCTGCTGCTACCGAGTCAGCTTGAGCTAGTGCATCTCCGGTAATGTGAAGCACTGATCAGACCAAATATAGTGGATCGATCCAAGACTTGTTGACGGTAATAGATCACTGCATCTCGTGTCCTAACGTCGTGTATATTTTCGACCCTATGCCCAAATCTGCTTTGTGTTGTGCAGGGGTGACGTGGAGACAGCATCGGTGAGCCAGCGACAATGAAGTTCGCTGTAGATAGCGGGAAGAATACTGGTGTTTCTTCGCTCACAACTGGAACTTTGCACGCGAAAAAGCGCATTGGTGGTAAGGATACTCCTATGAGTTATTCTTTTGAAGAGCGAGTATTTGGTCCGGGTGATACAGCCCCCCACAAGGCTGCAGCGAAGCTGGAGATGGTGGAAACACTTCGATCGCGCATTCTTTCATCGGAGAAGCCACAATGGGATCAATCAACTTCGAGCTGGGAAAACATGCAGATGACTGGCAAGTGCTACAAGCGCACCAACGTCAACGCTGAGGTGCGCTAGCTGTTCGTGTTGCTTGCATGATCTGTGCGTCACACTAATCTGTGTATTTGACGTTTGTAGCGAAATCCTGCGCACATGTTTAATTACAACTACCGAGCCGAGAAGCTGCCAAAGAAGAACCCGACACATAAACCTAAATCAAACCGCTTCAACACAGGTATCCTGGAAGTGGCTCTAAAGGACGAATACGTCGGTGAAGCATTCGGGGACAAACGCGTGATGAAAGTAAGTTCGCCATTTGCTGCAATACCGTAGTCATTCGGGGTCATGATGGATTACAATGATACTCCAGGGAATCGCTAAGTGCACAGAGGAGCTGCCTAACCACCCAGACTTGCGCGACGCTAGACCTTGGAACCAGTCAGTCGAACTGACAAGGGAACTTCGGAAGGAACACGTAAGTGGACTGGTGTGATGTCATACGACTAAAAAATTGCTAAGTCGATTATGTTTGATGCAGTTTGTAGCATTGGAAGCAGCGCGACTCACCAACAGCGAGAAATGGCGACACAAGGTCGGGGCAAAGGATACTTACAAAAACCCAGAGCAGTTATCGAAAGAGCTGTCAGCGCACAAGCGCCGGGAGAAGCAGGAACTCATAGCTGCAAAAACGAACCAGCGTCACTAGGATACACCTTAATGCTAGAACTCGTAGTCTACAAGCAAGACCTATTAGTGTTGACGTTGCCGTGAACGGACGCGGACGGTTGCTAGCCGACACATTTCCTCACTAGTACTAAAAGCATTCTATCCAAGATGGCGGCACCGACTCCTCCTGAATCGCTTGTGCAGTATGGTGAGCCAATCTTTACGGGCGAGACGCTCGATCCACCAAAGAAGGTCCTGGGTGTTGCCAACTCCGGATCTTCCTCGAATTCCATCACGGCAGCAACTGTCGTGGCAGCAGCAAATGAATCCGCTGGATCCACTTCCAATGGCAAAGGCTCCGATGGAGTTGCACGGGTCGAAGATATCCTAAATGCCATTTTACCACCTCAGTACGGTACCATTGATCTAAAGGATAGCCAATAACTGTGTTAACCTCTCGGTTTTGCTGCTTGCAGGATGTGGTCGGAGGAGAATTCGGGTTTCTGGCTTCGATACGCGTCGAGTGTGCCCTCGACTCGCTTCGATGTGCTGAAGTTGCAGGAAGCTCTTGACGCCAAATTACTACAGCGACAAGCTCGCGAAAGTGGCATTTGTCCTGTTCGAGAGGATCTGTACTGCCAAGCTTTCGACGAATTGATCCGTGAGGTGACACTCAACTGTCCGGAGCGAGGATTACTGTTATTGCGAGTTCGAGATGAACTCCGACTCACGACGGATGCTTACAAGACGCTCTACGACTCAAGTCTGACCTTTGGGGTCCGGAAACAACTACAGGCTGAAGATGGCATGGGAGGTCTCGCAGAGCAGATTGCCAGTCTTCAGCGTGACAAAGAGGAGGGCGAGAGCAAAGTGGCTGAGCTCACCAACAAACTCGAGGTCATCGAGAAGCGAGCAGCCGAACGCAAAGCCCTGCAAGAGAAGAAGTTTAAAGAAGAGCTGGACTTCCTCAAGTATCAAGGACAACATCTTGATGCTTTCCTCAAGTCTGCTGGAGGTGGCACTGGTGTTTCTGCCGGTGCCAAATGAGCACAAGATGTAAGAGCATCAACCAAAATTAACACACAATGCGAACAAAAGGTATTGTTAAAGCACTTGTGGATGCAGATGTATTCATTCAGCTTACGCTGCATGTTCAGTACCGCTAGTATGAGTAGGATGGCTCATATTTGCAGCCATTTCAGTGAGAAGTGCGTGAGCTGCAGTCACATATTTCTTCTGCTCTAGTGTGACTTGGCGGCGTACATGCTGCCGCTGAACATGCGGCAGTAAGAAGCTTGCAACAAGTTCGCGTACTACGGTCTCGTCACTGTCCATTTCATCTTCAAGCTGCAGCACAATTCCGTCTACGCCAGCACTGCGAATATGCAGCTCGTTCAGAGCTTGGGCATGGGATTGCTCCAGTGCAATCTCTTCCAATATATCGTTCACGAAGTCGCGAGAAGTTTCCTGATGTACCTGCATCACACGTCGGAACACCTCGTCTTCACGCTCACGCAACAGATCTTCAGCTTGCCGTCGTCCTCCTTCCTCAACTTCACGGACACGTCGCTCTTCAGTCGCCTTGATCACGAACGCCCGCATCTTGGCCATCTCACGCGATCGAGAGAGCTCTTTTGACAAAAAGTCGAGCATTTCAGAGACCACTTCACCCTCCACGCGTGTCTTCGCTGCGTTGGCCACACGGTCGATCGCCTCAGTGCCGGATCCTTGGAAGAGAGCAAACGCATTGCGACGTTGCAATGCCAGTTGTTCGTCAGCTGCACGCAGCTCATCAATAAGCTCTGTACGTCTCTCTTTGCCTTCGAACATCATGTTTTGAACAGCACGACCACGTAACAATTTCTGTAGTAAACGCACTGCGTCCTCCACGTCGTTCTCCTGTGCGTCAGCGACGTGAGCAAGTGCGTAGTCCGGGGTGGGTGGACGCACAAGTTGCTGCTGTCTCTGGCTGGCCCGTCGTGACAGGGGACTGCTAACGTTCTGGTGAGCTTTGCGAGTTGAGCCGCCAGCTTCGTTCTGTTCTTTGTTCTTGTTGATGATAGACTCCATCTTGAGAAGGTGAGCTTCAATAGCCGCTTGCTTCCTTTCCTTAGCAGTACGACCGCTCTTCTCACGGGGCGTGTACTTGCCCGCTGCAGGTTGTACCATGCGTGCAGGTAGAGCACTCTCAAGTTCTCGTAAGGCATCCAGCTGTAGGAACTGAGTCTTCCCGATGCCGGATTCACGAACTTCGATCTTTCCAGCCTTGCCATCTCGAGTGATAGGAGCATACACTTGGGAACCGAAGTTGGCATATTCTGCAATGATATCACGTCCACGCTCTGGTTTTGAGGCTCCGAATCCACGCTCGTGCTGTCTTTGAGCTCTTTTCTTGGTCAATTTCCTCAGTGCTGCCACTCGCTCCTGTTGAATAGCCTCTAGCGCGTTTTCCTTCTCATGAAGCACTCGCTGACGAAGCGCTTCGAGTCGCTGTTCCGAAAGGAAGGCGTTTTCCTTCTCACGCTCTGCAAGTGCTTGTTCAAGTAGAGCTACACGTTGATCATGGAACGCGTCGATCTCAGCTTCGCGATATACCCATTCACGGGTCTCCTGGGCTTCCAACATTGCCTTACGCAGCAGGAAGCTGGCTTCGTCAGTCATTGGCGGTAAAGAGGCCTCGAAAGCGCGGTTCTTGCGGTTCCGTTCGATGAGTTCCAGCTCAGCCTGACCAATCGGGAGCTGTCCACGAGCATGGTTTAGCCCCACGAGCGTTGCTATCTCGGGTGTTATACCAGTTGCAGTCTTCTGGATAGTGTAGTCAGGTGTGTAGGGATCTGTCTGCGCCTCCGAGTCGCGATAAACGGTTTGGATGCCCACCGACCGCGTGGCTCCTTCGAGCACTTCAGCTGCGACGTGGGGAGACGTCGATGCTTTTGCATCTCGATGTTGGACTGGGAGTGTGGGTACAACGTACACAGGAGCTAGCAACACTTCTGGCGGCTCAGCTTGTAGATGCGGCAACACTGGTCTTCGATGAAACTTGACACGTTCACTTCCGCTAATGAGATGGCTGCCCTCTGTTGGATTCTGGTTGTTGATGATGCTGCTTGTGCTTACTGGTTTGGAAGATGCTCGGTAGACGCCTTTGCGGAAAGAGCCACCCGAGTTGGAGATTGTGTACACCGTGTCTGTAGACGACGCAAACGAGTTAGCTGCAACATGACAGACATACAAGCATGGCGACAAGCCTACCATAGACAGGATCAAGTGCCCGGGATGGCACTGTCCGCGACATTATGCTGGAGTGCGAGGCAGTCTACAGTTCTCAATATTGATCGATTGATAATCCTCAACGCCAAAACCGTTATAGTGAGGAGGCGTTCCGTGTAAATAGCATTCGACCACAATGACCCACAACGACAGCAGCCTGTACATTATTCATCGCAGTGGACAATCCTCAAATGTGCATGTGCACCAACCTACTTCGTTATTCTAAGAGGAGATACTCTTTGCAAACTTGAGTGCCAGTTGCTTGGAATGAGTCACACAATCGGCCAGTCCAATGCCGTAGAAGCTGTTACCACCCAGGAACAGACCCGGTGTGTTGCGAGCAGCCTGCTTCTCAATACGTTGCAGCGTCTGACCGAAGCCCACGTGGTATTGAGGGATTCCGTTCGTGATGGCCAGAGCACGCACGTAGTCGGGCTTCTGAGAGATACCGAGGTGTCGCTTCAAGGCCTCCAGAGCGTGGCGCTCCAGTTCTCCTTTGGGCAATGACGCCACCTCACGGAAGTGCGCGCCGCCACTCATGACGCTCAGACGCGTCTGCATATTGCTCTTATTCTGCACAGGGAAAGTATTGGAGTCAAACACTACACCAAGAACCTTCTCACGCTCTGAAGTGGGGATCAGATACCCGAAGCCGTCGGTTGTCAACACCTCCTCGTTGTATCCGACGTGCACCATTCCCATGTCCACGAACTGGATCTCATTCAGTGCCTCAGCTAAGCCAGGTGCCGTATCCTTCACTACCGGGGACAAATAGCAAGCAGGGATCGTAGAAAATACGTGTGAGGCTCTAATAGGCTCCAGGATCTCACCGGATGTAGGGTCCTTGCTCTCCACGACAAAACGTGGTCCCTTAGACGACGCGTTATTGTGTCCATGAACCTCGAGTCTCGTCACCTTCGTATTAAGTTGCAGATCTGCCATCGGGTCATCATTGATAGTGTCTGCCAGTGCACTGATCAGTGTACCCATACCGTCAGTGAAGCTGACACTGACGGACTTCTCGTGCTTCTTGACGAACGCCGATTTGTTCGTGCCATCCAGTAGTGTGTCCTCACCCTTGGAGCCACCTAAGAGCATGCCTTTCACCACAGAGCCGTGCTTCTTCTCCAAATCCACCAGCATGGGGAAACACGAGCGTATTGAGAGCTTCCTGATGTCGCCACCGAAGATGCCCGAAGCCATGGGGTCCAGTAGTCGCTCGGCCACCAACGGACTGAACCTCCTGGATATAAACTTGTATATTGATTCGTCCTCCGTTGTCCCTGGCTTGACAGACAGTTCGTGCAACGCCGCACGCGCTACGGCCATCGACAATGGCCAACGCAGTGCCTCTAAGAGCGTTGTCGGTACCTTCTCCACCTTGCCATCCCGCAGAATGTAGCGCGCCTGAGCTGCGGGGTCTACAGCCTGCATCTGATCCTGCAACTTCAACTGCTCCACAAGTCGCAACATCTCGGCTCCATTGCGCGACGGGCGGAAGCCTCTGGGTCCTTCTTCGAACAGAAAATCGTCACGCTTGGCTGTCTGCACCCAACCGCCTGGCGTGGCGCTGGCGTCAAGCACGCGGATGCGCGTGGCGTCGGCCACAATCTTAGGCAATGCCTGACGCAGGAAATAGGCCAGCGTGAGTCCGGAGATGCCGCCGCCCAGGACAACCACCTCGCGAGCTGTAGCCGCCATCGTCGTCACTACGATCAATTTGTGGCAGATTTGAACTGTGCCTGGTTGGTAGAAATGCAGCGGTTCAACATGGACATGAAACGCCGCTGATTGGTTAGTAATGCATTTTATATTGGCCAATTGTAGCTAAGTTGAAGTGGTTGAAGTGTAGCTTTACGGGCTGGTAGGCTGCTGAACCTTCTTGCCTTTGAAGAGCCCACCGAGCGCACTGAGACCACCCGCCGCCGGCTTGGCACCGTCGCCGCCAGCAAGACCCTCGCTTTCCGCCTTCTGCTGCTTGGCACGGCGCTCCAGCTCCTGCAGCCTCGCCTCCAGCTGGTCGTATGTGCCCTTGGCGACTCCGCGCAAACGCTTCTGCAGGATAATAGCCGAGATGATTAGTGGCAATAGGAATAGGCTCAGGAACAGCGCGCAAAGCGAGATGGCCAGCGTCGTGCCCAGAACATTGTTGCAGAGCGCCTCGTTAATGGCGTCGAACGAAAGATTCGTCCATGCGCAGTCGCCTGAGCAACGCGCCTGCTCCACAGCTGTCAGCAGGTTGCGCACAGCTCCGTCATCCCCAAGCATCTTCGACAATGGACCAGATTGTAGAGCTGTGATCTTTGTAAAGTAATTGGTGGCAAACTCGTTGATAGAGACCGTGTAGTTCCACTGGTCCGGGAACGTTTTGCCCGTATCGCCCAATAGAACCTCGCGCATCTCGTCCAGCATCGTGCTTGCCTTGTCGAAGGCTAGTAAGTACTCGTAGGCCTCGTAGAAGGCGAGCTGACAAGAGGCTTGCAAAGTAGTCTTGGCTGTTGTGTCGGACTCGCACAGACCCGTCATGTAACACACTGGCAACTCGTCGTTGGTCTTGTTGGTACAGCCATAGGAGGTAGCCACTTCATTGTATGCCAGCCAAGGCGTCAAGACGTTCTCTTGAGTGAACTTCACGGCCGGTTTCTTCTTGGCAGCCTCTGCTGCTGTAGAAAGCTTGGACACAAGGCTCCTCGCCTTCGTCGAGTTAAAGCTAAAGTCTGTGAGATCAAAGTTGGAGACGATCTCGCCGTACGTCGAGATGATAGTCGGCAGACTCGTCGTGTCTGCTCCCTGGAGAACCTTGTATTCATCTTCTACGTTGCACGAGAATGACAGCGGAGTGTCAAGACCCAGCGGTTTTAGAATATTGCTGCCGTTGAAACAGGCATTAGTCATTGACGCCATCTGTGTCGATGCGTACGGGGACATGTCCTGGTGCAGCAACTTCATGTATTCGCACGAATCATACCACACGGCACCGACAGCGAGGAGAGATGCCGACAGGACGAAGCTCAGCACACACACTAGCACACCCAGGGACCAGCTGACATGCAGCAAGTGTACCCACTTGGTCGCCTTGGTGGTGCATGCGTTCTTGACGATGGCAATGATGCCCACAATCGACGCGATCATTCCGAACAAAAAGACGCAAACCACAAGCGCACTGCGGGAGAAGGACAAGTCGTTGAACGTGGTGGTGAGTACGTCCACGATGTCCATGGAGCTGTTAGTTGTTGCACCCAAGGCCGTCATATCACGTACTGCCGTGCGCAACGTTGTATTGAGAGCACTGCCGTTGGTCACAAACGAGCTTTGCAACAAGCTGACTGTATCTCCAACCACATCACTACTAGCAGAGATAGCAGCAGCAGTGTTGTTGACAAAGAATGTCACTGGAGAGCCGCACACTCTGTCAGGACATGCCAAGCAGAACGTCTCGCTTGTCTCGGGATCGCAGGTCAGCGTCGGGAATGCTCCGTGGTTGTAATAAATGCTTCCGAAGTCCGCAATCATCTTTCTAAGTGTAGCGCCGTCCGTAACAATCCAGTCGGAGTTCTTGAGCTGAGTGTTCACCGCCTTTGACGCAACAGTAAGCTCGATAGTGGCGTTGTTCAGCGGAATGAGCAGGTTGGACACGAAGATGTTTGCGTTCTCTAGAGTGGCCTTCAACGAGTACAGCACATCTTCGACACCATCCGATATGTTGGTGTTTAGTGCTGCTGTGACGACCATACAGATGAAGACTGCCAGTGAGCACACTAGGAAGGTGAGTGTCGGAATAATGATATCGCAGCGAGTATATCCTTTCTCGTTGGGCTCGCGTCCACCACAGCGGTTGAAGACGCAACGAAGCACTACGAAGCCAATGCAGCCCAACGCCGTGAGTACACCCATGACTGTGCCGGGGGCCACGAAAGGCGCCAATGAGCTAGGATAACCCGTTGACATCCACTTGGTTGCAGTAGTAACATCTGCATCAGTGAAAAGCTGGCGACGAGCTTCCGACCCGCCAGGTACAACGTCGTCCCACTTGCAATTGCTCCGACGCTCGCATTTCCCTTTGCTGTTGCATGAGTCGACGTCAAGCATGACAACACACTTGCCGTTGATGTCGCGCACTGCATCGCTGCTTGAGGGGTCAACGCAGCGCTCCAGTTCAGCTTCCGAAGAGGATTTCACGCAGATATAAGTGGAAAAACTCGCCAACGACTGCTTGTACCAGTTGTCGCTCTTCTTGCGCATTCCAGACATAGCAGTATTGCCAGCTACGGCACTCAACTTGAGGGCACTCTGTCGTGCTGTTTTGTAGGCGACAGCGGCATTGTTCTCATCAGCGTTGATCTGTGCAGATGTCATTCCCGTTGGCGAGACGTAGTTGGTGTTCTTTGCCGTGCGCATTGGGCAAGTGGCTTGCCACACCTGATCCGCTTCGGCCGAGCACGTCGTTGGCCACGTGGTTGTAGTCCCAAGCACCGGACTCCATCCCATGGTCGAGCCCAGGAGCAATACGAGCCCCTCTCGATAGCGCATGCTGGCAGTCGCTTGGTCTCGGTCACTGCTTCCTCCCGCACTTGCTCAAGCGGAATCGAGAATGAGCTGCTACCATTAAAACGGACGAGCCGCTATTCCCGGTCATGCAAGCGGACAAGATGCATCAACGGAGATAGAATAGGTTTCCATCTAAAAATCGCCTTCGATACATGGGAGGTGCTTGATAATTATAGTGCTGAGCTGTAGCTTCGCAGATGCATTGACAATGACGCTCTGTAGCCCTTGCGATCCTGCACAGGCGCCACGCTAACGTTGGAATTTAGAACTATTCTAATCTGGAATTTCGACGATTAGAATAGTCCAAAATTAGCAAAGTCTAACATAGTGGTGCAACCCATTCATGAACACCAACACAACGGCAGCAGCTCAACCCACTCACGACCTGCAGTACATTTCGTCGTCGTCTCCGATTCACTTAGGATGGAAACCGAGAGGTGGCCTGTTTGTTCCTATGACTGCTGGTACTGTCCAGTCCAGCCTGTTCCTACCACGCGACTAACTCACTAGCTCGTCACTGCTTACTGCATCACTTAGCTCCCCACGGAGTAGTTCAGCAGCGACGGATCAATCTTTTGGCCCTTCGAGCGGCGTTTACCCCGCTTGTTCGACGACCCCGTCTCGGACGCACGCTGTTGGGCGTCCAGGTGGCCCGGCGACTTCTTGCCGCTGTGTTGGGTCTTCTTACGCTGGATAAACTCCGTGGCGAAAGCGGACACACGGGGCGTCGATCCCAAATACGCCGCAAGATACTCGCGGACCTCACCAGGGTCCTCTACTGTGGCGCAGTATTCCAGCAACGTCACATCCGCGTTGCTGTCAATAGTTTTCAGTTGCTTCAGAGCCCACGTCATGAACTCCGACGACACATTCTTTGAGCCGAAAGCATTCGAAGTGCCCACTTGAGCACTGGTGGATGTAGACTCCTTCTGTGCTGCTCCAAAGTTCCAAAATGATGCGTCGCTCTCGGTCTTCGGCGGCGAAGGTTTCGCGGCTCCATTGGCAGCACGAATTTGCTGACGGCTCTTTAGCACGGACGCCGGAACAGGACCCAATACTGACCGGGATGGCTTGGGGATGGCTGCTGCAGCGACCTTGTTGCCCGCCACGATATTCATCCAGTGCGAGTTGGTCGGTGTATTCTCACTGGCTTTAGCCCGCTCCTGTGCCAGACGCTCCTCTTCAGCCAAAATATCGCGCATTGACTTGGAGGCGCTGCTTTTCGTCACTACAGCAGGTGTGCCCCACGGACTTGCTGCTGGTGCTGCAGGAGCAGGAGCTGGTGCGGCCTTGGTTGTCGGGACTTGAGCGGGGGGCGATGGTGCAGGGGGCGAAGGAGCGTTCGGTGCCACAGCCGTCGAGTCTACGCCCAGCATCATCTTGAGTTGTGCTCCCATTTGCGCGAGATTTGCGTTGTCGCCCTTGTCAGCACTCATCTTGTTGAGCATTTCACGCTGCTCCTCCTGTTGAATATCCTTGAGCGACTTCGAGTTATCAGTCGACGCCTTAGTAGCCCATGCATTGGTCTCAGTCTTGACACTCTTGCCATTCTTTTTAGACTGACTCGCAACCGTCTCCTTCTCAGCCTTCCGTTCCTTCTGAGGCGATTTGATAGGAGATGCGGCCTTGAGTTGTTCTTGCTGCATATCGGTCTGGTCGTCTTTTTTGCGAACTTCGTTGGCAACACGACGTTTCTCCTCGTTCTGAATGTCGAACAGTGTTGGTGACGGACGGTCCGGGGACTTTGGTCTAGCTCCCCACGCATCAACCACGGGGGCGGCAGCTGGGCTCTTCGGTGCAGGAGGCTCAGTAGATTCCGGCGCCACTGGACTCAACGGCCGTGCTGACTGCAATTCGCCCACAGCGCTTGCTGGGTTTTCTAAACCAGACATTTCCGGAGCTGCATTCGGCCAGAATGCCTGGTCACGTCTCTGTACTTCATCATTCAGGAACATTGAGCCTTGAGGTTGAGTATTCTGTATGTTCAGCTGGTGTTGAGTGCGGTAGTCGGACTGGAATTGAATCTGCATACCGTCCGATCTGAAGTTGTCGTTTGTTCCCATGTTGGCGTCTTGGTTCCCTCCAAATATGCCTAATGCGCTCATAATACCTTCGCGCTGGCTACGCTGCCACGAACTTTGTTGCAGTAGCATTTGCTGTTGGTGTTGTTGCTGCTGACGCTGCTGCTCTTGTTGATGTTGCAGCATCTGCTGCTGCTGATACACTTGCGTTTGCTGCTGTTGACGGGCGATTTCAAGACGTTGCATCTCCATTCGAATCTTCTCTTCCTGGTTCAGCTGCATCATCCGCTGCTGTTGTTGTTGTCTCTGAAGCTCCATCATTTGCTGTTGTTGCTGCTGCTGTTGGCGCTGTTGTTCACGCTGCATTTCCAATAGACGCTGCTGCTCATTCTGACGAGGATCAACGTGCATTCCTCCAATATCACTCATACGCGACGGTGGGGCAGCGAAAGGCATTTGTCCGTGGACGAATTGGTTCGCCAAGGGAGTGAAAATTCCCTCGCGACCGAAACGAATCGGTAGATGAGGCTTAAAGTACCCAGCCTCGAACCATTCCCGCATCTCTGCTGTTTTAAACGGACCCTGCTGTAATCCCTGCGGGTCCAGATAAAACCATTCGTCCTCCACTTCCAGTCGTAGCGACGATAAGCCGCCGAAACCTTCATCCACCGGCATTTGAGACAGAGAGAAGCTACTCTTCTCCTCAAGCACAAGCTGTTCGCCTGCAGGCTCCAGCGCATCGAACAGATGGCTCCCACTAGACTGACGACCCAGCAGATTCGACTCGCGATCTTCCAATGGATCATTAGCTGTGCTAGAATTGAGCTGCTCATCAGGAGCAGGATCATCCCATTGTACTTCTTCGTTATCACTGTCATCAAATTGTCCAGCAGCCGCAGCATCCTCTAGTTTCTTGTCGAAAGCATCCAAATCGTCCTTAATCTCGTCCTAATAAACCAACATGTCATCAGTTATCCGAGTGCACCAGGTTTCTGACGCTGGCTTGAGCCTTACCGGATCGATCTTCGGTCCCTGGAGCTCCTCTCGCATCGCATCCATCTCTCGTCGGAATTTCTCCGCCGCCTCCGCCATACTTGACAGGTCCTGCATTCCACATAACAATAACATCAGCCATCCAGCCGTCTAGATATCATCGTTCCATAAGTCGATACCATTTCATTGCTATCCGCTCCTGGCTCCAGAACATCATCCCATACATCGTCTCCGTGCGATCCTTCCGTGATCTTGGCACCACGCTCCCACGTCGAGTCTCTTTCGTTGTGTCGCTGTTCATCTCTCTGCTTGGCTCCCTCCGTGTCGTCCCCTCGAGATCCTCGTTCCTGTTGTCCACGTGTGCCCTGTTGGCCTCCAGACGGTGCGTTGCCACGACCGCGTCCACGGCCACGATTGCGGTTGAGTGACCACTGCTTGTAGATCTCCTCGTAGTCGAAGGGAAGCGTGCTGACGGGTGGTAGACTGTGTTCCGAGGCTACTGTGGTCTCGGGAGGGAATTTGGGCGCCTCGGTGGTTGTGAAATGCAGCGCCAGTAGCTCTTCCTTAGTGTATCGCAGCACTTTACTCTTGCGGCGCTCTCCCCGGTGATCATCGCTCTGTCCGCCTCCTGTGGCCGCGTCTTTAAAGGACGTGGGGCCGCCCGAGGACGCCGACACGAAACCCTCGCCATCCTTGGACCATTGCGGACGGTAGGCGGATCCCTCGGACTCAGTACGGCCACGGCCTTTCATGGCAAACATCGTACGCGGCCGCAGCGAGATGTTACTATTGCTGCTACTGCTGGCGCCGTTGCTGGCCGTAGGGGGTTTCTTGTTGGCTGTGTCACCGAGGGCAGCAGGCTGCTGTTGCTTCTTGCGGTGCTTGGTGGTTATGGTGACAAAGTCGTCGTCATTACTAGGGCTGCTCATGGCGGCGGCCGGCGATAAGGTGCTCGGTGGCTGTTGCTCTTGGTGTTGGTGGTTGCTCCTTCTTTGGGTGTGGGGGAGCGGTGCTGCTGTGGCCTTCAATTAGATACGATTTTTTTAGGGAAAGATTTGATCCAGTTTGTGATTAATGTTTTATGCTTTTGTGACCGGATCATCAATAAGCAATGAGCTCTGAGGGGCTGCGGAACTGGCGGTGCGTTGTCTGCCAACTTCATGTGCTGACGTATGTGTGCGATATTGCTTGATTGATATTCGCGTGCGTGTGTTGATTGCAGCGGCGAGATCATCCAGTCCAAAGCGACGACGACCGCTAGCTCTGAGAGTGTTGCGAACAAAGGATCTTCGCCTGCTCACGGATCTAAGTCGGACCCGTCCTCGCCTCCTTCGGATGATCGACATCCGGCTCAAAAGAAGGTGCTTCGCAAGGACGAGTTCGGTCGCGATGTAGAAGTTGTAGTCGACGAAAAGAGTCGCAAGAGATCCAAGGTCGAGCGGAAAGAGGACAGGAAGAAGGAGCGGAAACACAAGCACAAACACAAAAAGAAGCACAAACACCATCGAGACAAGAGTAGTGATAGGTCGAGATCGTCGAGCCCTCGGGGTCGGCTTGTTGGCACGCCGCCGCCGGCAGATCCGTTCCGTCCACAGGTACGCTTGGTTGGAGTGCATTAATGTCGTGCAAGACGCTGACTGCTGTTGATGCGTATTCCTGGTAGCTGGACGAAGATCGAGGCAGACGTCTACACCGCCGCACCCATCACAGAAATCGGACCCGAAGCCGTAGCATACCCAGGAAGGGTTATTCGCGCCGCCACAGCCGAAGCCGAAGCCGTGGAGACGACAGTCCCACTCGTTGGAGCTCCTCCCGAAGTCGTAGCAGGAGTCGAGGGCGGCACCGTAGTCCGAGTTCTCCACCTTCTAGATCGCATCACAGGCATTCATTGGCCTCAGTGGAGCGCAAATGGACTCACAACGCTTTCGACGATCGCAGTCCAAGTCCACCCCGACGAGTTGATCCACTCTATCGACCGGAACCTGAAACTTGGGTTTCACGAGCAGGAGGCGTGTACTTACCTCGCAAATAGCATCACTATACCGGGAAACGTCGTATCACGTTTTATCTGGTTGACAAATGAGCACGCTTCTCCATGACTGGGATGAAGGTGTGTAAGCACAACTATTGCTCGTGGTCGGCTTGGAATGATACGATCATCCTCATATCTTTTGCTCACGCATCCACTGACTTCTGTTTATAGGCTCTAAAAGTAAACGCAAGAAGCTCCTCGAATGGTTTTGCAGCAATTTTGATCCTACACAGAATGGTGGTGGACAGCTCGAGAGCGAATACGGCGCAGACATCGCTCTCTTTCTGCCACGTCTCCTGTCGTGGATGCATAAAACAGTAGCAAGCGCCATGTGCACCAGCAACGATACCTGCAATGCCACGAGTAAGCCAGGAAAAGTAAAGTGTTTTGCGCTGACGGAGCAAGTGGCTTGCCTTCACGTTGTCTTCGGGTCAGCAAACGCGCACGAATACTATCGAGAGTTCCAACATGCTGACGGTCTTCAGTTGGTGTTGAAAATTGTGGCCATCTACGGGACTGCCCCTCATTCCCAAACACCTCTTGTGTCGGTCACCGACCGAGAAACGTTGTTTCGCATCATCCTGCGGATCTCCAAGATGAGTCGGCAATGCAAGGAGGACATTAGTTGTCTTGATGGCGAACTAGCTGTGATTCGCGGGGTTTTGGCTAGTGGTGAGATTAATGATTGGAAAGCGGAGTCGCGTGTGTGGACTCTTTGTCGCGAGATCCTTCTTGAGCAGCTCGTAGGCAACCCTAACAGTCTGGACCGAGCTCACGAGGCAGTTGCATTCATGCTAAGGCACTCTGAAGTTCGTCTTCGACTCTTTGGAGCACAGGTGAAGTGGCGTCTTCTTGAATTTACTAGAAGAAATCGTACTAACTAGGAACATCGATTCAGGTTCTTCGTGAGTTAATCTCCGAAAAATCATTTTCCTTTGACCCCGAGTATCGACGACGGAAGGAGTACGATCTTGTACCTCTTTGTCTGTCCCTTCTCGAGTCGGCCGATGTCTACCTTCAGCATGAGAGCCTCGAACTTCTCCACGCTCTACTGCAATCGAAACATTTACAGGTTTGTCATGGCGTGTGTACGTTTGGATGCAATCTTACTGATCAGTGGTGCAACAGGAGACTATTTGTGAGAAGCTCGTTCGCCTGGTTGGAGACAGTGCCAAGGCACTGGATGCGTATGTCAATCCGTCAGTGAATTGATGTTCACTTCCAACACATTTTGCTCACGATTGTGCGTCGGAATGTTTACTTGTATTCCAGCAAAGTTGAGGAGCGATTCGCCTTAATCGAAGATACCACAGAGCATGAGACCTATGCCCACCTCCGATCAGCGTTCACTGCGGCTTCCCAAGCCGTTAACACGCTAATGAACTCGAACCGTAACATGCTACCGATTCTGGTACGTCGGGCACTCTAAACACCAGTCCGTGGCACTAACTGCAACTACTTGGGCAGGTGGATCGATATGATCTCCTGACTCCTCTAGCATTTGTGCTCGCTGTTGAGCGACCTCACTCACTAAAATGGCACGCCGCTGCGATTAGTATCCAATTCATTATTTCGCACTACTACCCGGTAAAAAAACCACTTGACTGTTTTGTGTATACCTTCGTACTAATCGACGTATTGTGTGTTTGTGCGCTATCCTAGGGAGCGGCTCCTTTAATTGGTGAGTTATTCGAGGTTTCAGTAGACGAACTTCTCGAATGGAAAGACAAACGAGGGGATGATGGCACGATGCTCGCTGAGTTTCTATTAGGCGATGAAGATCATCGAAGTCACCTTGCTCTCCTATTTTACCAGCGCCAATGGTATCGCCCATTATTTCCGAGAAAACAGTTCGAGCAAGCGGATTCTGATCGCATTCTCAATGACATTGAGCAAAATGTCGAGACAGCAGCACGCGACTACGTTCCTGAGGTGTGATTAGCGGTAGTGTTCTCATTGAATCCGTCTAACGAACTCTTTTTTTATTCTGTACTAGCTGCAAGTCCAAACACGAGTAGGAGAGAACTCCGACGAGACGGAGGAAATGGACATCCTGGAGGCGCAGCGTGAGCACCACTTGCGCGTCCAATTACAGAAGCATTTCGCTAAGTTCCGCCACATACCGACAGCAGTAACGACCACCAGCAGCAACTAGAAAAAGAGTTTGCAATCTACTTGATGTGAAATTAATACTGCGAGGCCTCCAGGTCCCAGCCGAGAGCTCGTTAGCTCTCCTCGGGCGTGTAATGGTCCTCGAGGAAGCGCGATAATGTCTGCAGCTGCTCGGACACTACTTTGACCTTCTCACGGCAGATCTCCATGTCCTTTTCGGCACCGTAGGTGCTACGTGCAAAGGTGCGGTAGTCTGAGACCAAGTGGATGTGGTTGGCCAACTCGGTGTGGATCTCCTTGACTAGCTGTAGAAACTCGGTACATGTCGAGTTGAAGGCCAGCGATGAGCTTTCCTCAGACGCCACACGTGGCGCCATGAGCGACATGGCTGTGGCTGCCGTACGCAACGCCGTCACCAGTTTCTAGTGCCAGCAACAAATGGATAAGTCTGAAACTGTAATTCTTTAAGTGCCGCAAAAAAAAATTGGCGGTTGGTAATCACGCAACCATGCGCACATGCACGCACCTTCTCGACGGCGTCAAGCGCCTGCAGCACCGCCACATGCCGCGAGCTGGACCACGGGTCGCTCACCTCCGAGAAGTGCACGCGACTATCACCTTCACCCTCCATGCCTCAGTGAAAAATGGGGATAACGTTCCCTCTCAATAATGACATTTGAACTTTCCCCTTTTAGGTACTATTTAGAACGTAGCCGTTCTAAAATAACGGATTTCACCGAATAGTGCCCAGGTTTCTAATATTTTGAGCCCCCCTCACAAGTCATCAACTTGAAAGGGGGGGTCCAATTCCGGAAAGGCCTTTCCTAAAAAATATTAGAATAGTTTGCAGCTCGACTTTGATCGATACATTCACGTAAACTTTGTATACTAAGTCCATGCCACCACTTGCGGGCCGTGCCAGCATCCCTATCTCATCTAATAGCTTAAAAGTGCTTCACAGCTCTCGTTAAAACCTTGAACGTAAGTTCACATTGCTCCTGAATAAACTAGCAAGACCGGGGTATAATATGTGAAGGGCTATTTCATTGAACCAAAAAAAACGCGAATATGTGCAGGGTTTCTATTCAGTTAAATTCGGTACTTCTAAAATACTTAACATAAGTGCATGAACTGTGGCCACAACAGAGGTGGCGATATCGATTACAACGATGACATCGTTTTCGCTATTGGAGGACACTTCTGCGTGTTATTTTAATACTTAAAATAATACTTCACAAGTACAAGCTTACTGTAGAGCTCAGATCAATCGCCAGTAGGTTTTATAAATAGGCAAAGTCGTACATGCAGGTGGTTCATTTATATTTTTGTTTTAGGCAAGTGTTGGCAAACTAATTTTTTAAATCGCCGCTCCCCTACAGATATCCTCAAGTTCCCTATGCCACGCTTCGTGTCTGAATGCTTCGCCTTGTTGCACTGTTGACTCACGTGGAACGCACCCGCCATCCGCAGCTGAAGCAACTTCTCGTGCAACGTCAATCAGGTCACCAATTCAGATGTATTAGTCGTTGGAGCCTCTGCATTGCAGGTATAGTAACGAGGCAGAGGGCTGACGCAATGATTGCGAGTGTTTCAACCCTCAACTCCCCGCCGATTGAGGCGGCGCCACTGAAATAACCATAAGAATGATATGTAACTAACTTGTCGCGCGTTGCCCCCATCGGGCCAGTGGTAGAAGAGTACCCTGTGAGAGAATATATTAAGCGTTAGTAGTCCCATTGCTAGCCTTGGACTTGTGGTGGTGTGGCACCGAATGCCTGCGGCGCTACGACGTGTGCGATGCATCGCTCACGTCGTTTCGTGTTTCAATCAATTAGGGGTAGATTGACATAAAAAGGCTTATAAATATTTATTTACGGCGTTATTTGTGGAATTAGTATGTTGAGTTAATATTAATGTCATGTTTACACATATTTTCACAGAAAGACACAAGACATCGTCTCGCGTCTTCATGCACATAAGGCTTCTATAGAAAATGAATAGTTAAAACAAAATAGAAGGCCACCTTTCCTCATGTTCGCGTTGAACATTAAATTTTCCATCAACTAAGCAAGCTACCACAGGTAGTTGAAGCTATTAAAGTCGTTGCAGGGCTCGTGTCGATCTTCGAAATACAGTTGTACGAACTTTTTCGAGAATTTCAGCTGTGCGTTTGTGTGCTCTGAAACAGAACTGCATGCTGTCCACGTTAAACGAATACTTGAATGGAAGGTACCAACAGGATACCAAAGGCTGTCATTCTTGCTTCCAGTTTAGTAACGTGTAAACAAATTAAGTCCTTAACAGCACACTAGATTTAAATTCACATTCTAAATAAGCAATAGTGTTGAGATATCTTCGTGATCACCAAAGCTGCAGTCAATCTACAAGCATCTCCTGCAGAATCTTAATTGGACACGTATTTATTTATTCCAAGTAATACCATAAATGAAGGGCAGCAAGTCCCGTACCGATAGAGTATCTATCCACTGTTCGTGCACCCGTATTCAAAATATTTGCATTTAATGAAAGGCACGTGTTGCTGCTCCAGACTGGAATAAATGTCCTTATTAATGGCCTAATAACGGCTATTACTGTACAGAGACTCAACTTAGGGCCCGCCCGAAAACGCAACAACGCTGTTTCCTTCCCCTTTATCATAATGTTGCTCGGTTTGGAGGATCGAGTAGCCTCTCCACTAGTGCCCTTAATCATACTACAGCACCCGCTCAACGCTCGCTGGAAGCTACGTACCAATGCTTGCCAACAGCGGCAAATTGGCTGTTTTATGATACCAGTCTGGAGCAGCAACCACTCTCTTAATGAAAAATGTAACAAAATATCTTAACATTTTGTTAAAACAGTATAAAAAAATCTGCCAAAATTAAGGGATAGAAAGTGGCGAATTGTCAGTCCGCCCTATCATTCGTCAGCGAGTATAGACGAGCTGTCATCTGTATTTTCCTATTGAAAGCCCCCACGTCCTATACTTACTACCTTACAATTTCTAAGTCAAAGTCGCCATCAAAATTACAACACCAAATCTTCGCTCATCATGACACCTTGCCATTCTTGTTCTATCCCACACGCTGTAAGGCGTCAAGTAAACACTTAAACAGGAAGTATGGCGTCCGCTGATGAGATTCGCGCAGAGAATGAAAGCCTAGCGCGTGAGATTCACGCGCTGCTGAACGCCAACACTACTCTGGAGAAGGAGATGCTGAAGCTGAGCTCAGAGCGAAACGAGCTCGAGAACTTGGGCAACAAGAAGCTGCAGACACTGGAACAGCAGCTCGAGACGGTTGACGAGGAGCTCACGTCGCTTCGGTCGCAGTGTCAGTCAATGACGGAGATCATCGAGAACGCGAATGCTGAGAACGAGGTTGAAGTCGAGGAGGAGCCGGCACCAGTGCCTGTCAGTCGTAAGCTGTCCTCGGCGTTAAACCACACCATGCAGCGAGCACGAGGCATGTCGATGCCGCGCCAGCGGCGATCATCGACAGTGGAGATGGTGGCGCATGGCCTCACCAAGGCCGCGAGTTACATGATTCCTCCCACAGCAAAACCGAGTCCTGACGGCCCTAGCCGAGTCAGGATGAGCAAGGATAGCCCACCGATCTTGTCGTACGCCAAGGGCACGACCGATTCAACCAAGAGTCTGCTCTTCTCAACTCATTCGCACTACGGCAACTTCCGTCGGCACAGCGGGCCCTATCGCAAGAACCGCGATCCACCTGTCATGGTGCTTTAAGGAAGGCCCTAGCTCGACAGAATCGAAACCGGATGCAAGTTTGCACCTCCTTCACCGATCTCATTATTTAAGCAACAACATACAGCTGAAAGTCAACTACATCCGTCCAGAGCGCCCAGCGTCACACCACACAGATCACCAAGCACCGGACTCCATGCTTTTCCGACGGATAGAAAAGCACAAAGGAGAAGACCGACGGCCCGCGATAAATCTTTCGAGGTGGTATACTATGCATGTCCAGTCCCCAGTCTACAATACAAATGCAACCGCGTTTTCCTGTATGTTATCGAATCATTTGGAATACTACGTAGTAATTAGGATACTTTGATTGGTATGGAGCATGGTTGATATGTTTATTATGGATCGATCTTCAAAGCTTCCTAGCTAGCTGAACAACGAACTACTACTAATGAAGGGGTAACACGCAGTTCGAAGCGCCGAGGCGACTACACGCTACGTGCGGTCCCTGAAGGCGTCTCCGTCTACTTACAGTCCGCTAGCCGACTTCTGGCGCGCCAGCTTCTGTGCCTTGAGAGAGGCCAGCGTGGGGCGTTCGAACTGAGACTTGCCCAGCTTGCGGTTCACGTAGTACACACGACCCGTGGAGCGCGACACCTTGGCCTCCCAGCCGACAGGAAGAGAGACTTCCGGCAACGCGTCCAGGTTGAACGACTCGCGCACGGGGCGGTCCGCCGGCTTCGCGGCCGGCTTCACCTTGGCGCTCTTCGAGGTAACGACCGTCGTCGACGCAACGTTGTCGGACGGGTTGGCGTTCTCCTCCGGTTTGCTGTTCGTGCGCTTGCTACGGTTGTCGTACATCCCCTTGACAACCGACATGCGGCCCTTGAGGCTAGACATGGCACCAGTCACGCCCACTTCCATGCTCTTGACGATCGTGTTGCGCGTGGAGGAACTGTTCGTGGGGCTGTCCTCACCATCAACCTCCGAGACGTCGAAGCCGTCGCCGTTGTCGCCCTTCTTGCTCGAGTTCCAGAAGCGAGAGCCCACACTCATGCTCGGCATGCGAGGGAAGTGGCGCTCCGACGGACGCGTCTCGGACGAACGGTTCAAGTCGTCCGAGCCGGTGAGCGAGTCCATGAGCACAGTCTCGCGTGGCTTCTTCTCCTTCTTGGAGCCCAGCGTGCGGAAGATCGACTTCTTCGGTGTGGGCTTCTTCTCAGGAACAACACCCTCAGCGTGAAGTTTGGCGATCTGCTCCGTCAGCTTCTTGTTTTCGGCCTCGAGCTGCGAGATCTTCTTGTCCTTGTCACGCACAGTGTCCTGCAGTTGACGGACCTTCACGTGGTTACCAGCCGACGAGAACTCCTTGTCACTCTTAAACTTCTCGATCTCGGCCTTCAAGCCCTTCATTGTCACCTTCATGTCCTCGTTCTTCTCACGCAGCTTCTTGTTCTCGTCAGTGAGAGTCTCGATCATACCGCCAGCATCAGCCATCACAACGCTCGAGGCAGCGGACGAGTCTGCCGTCGCCACACTGCTGCGGCGCTGGAGCTGCGCATTCCGCTCCTGCTCTTCCTGCAGAGCAGCCTTTAGCTTCTGCAGCTGGTATGCCATGTCGGCCTCGCGACGCTTCTCCTCAAGAGCAGCAAGATACTTCGGTCGCTGGATCGTCATACGAACCACAGCTTGGACACGGATAACCATCTCGCGCATCAGGACGTAACGGTGACGCTTGACAAAACCACGCACATACCGCTGGATAATGACAGCGTTGTGGTTGCTCTTGACTTCAGCAGCCACCTTGCGGCCCTGCATGCCTCGCCAGTGAGCTTGCGCCGAGATAAGGCCCTTGAGAAACGTGTTGTATCGGCGCATAGCAATCACGCACCGAATCACTGACTGCAACTTGATGATCGCTTCCAGTTGACGGAGGTACTTGATACGCTGGGTGAATCCAACCATGATGTTCTGCAGGTATGTGGCCTTGGCATCCAGAAACTTCTTACGGCGATCCTCAAGCTCTTCGAGCACACCTAGCTGGAAGTACACGCGGGTCTTACCCATCTGGTACTGAGTGGGGGACTCCAACTTCAGCTTGTCCATAAGCAGTTGGCATTTGTCTGCAACAGTGTCACCACCACTCGGTACGAACAGCCAGAATTTGTCAAGGATCTCCGTGTGCTGCAACCGGTTCGGGTATGCTGCACGCGAGATACGAATGGCTTCAATCACACCGGCACATCGCAACTGGGACACCACCATGTTTTGGTCCATGGCAGTCGCGCTCTTGATCGGGTTGGGCTTGATGCAGCGCACGTAGTGAACACGAGTCGAGTTGATAGTAGCCATCAGTTCCGTCAGACTCTCTTTGAACTGGGTACCCACAGTCGTGATGGACAGAGCACCACCACGTTTCCGGCGACCTCCAGCTCCCGACGTCTCAGCAACAGCCGCCTTAGGCTCAGGCTTCGGCTCGAAGAGCTTGGCGATGAACGGCTTGGATGAACCACGCATAAGTTCGGACAGATCAGGCAACAGTGAGTCCTTGTGCTTCTCCAGGAATCCCACCGAGTCGTACATGACAGGAGCGGCGTAGTGCTTGATGAGGAACTCAGTACGCGACGTACGAGGGAACTCAATAACGTGCGCCATATCATCCTTATGCAAGGACGTCACCTTGGACATGAACGACTCCTCATTACCCTTCGGTCGCATCACCTCTTCGTTCAGCAGTGAAATGATACCCATGCGCGACTCGATCACAGTCAGCACGTCCTGGTTATCTGCGTACTCAATGTGGTCCCACACGATTCCTTCCTCCTCGTACTCAATTTGCACGGTCTTGAACACATCCTGAGTGAACTTTTGCTGAAGCTTTTCGTTGGCGTAGTTGATGCAGAACTGCTCGAACGAGTTGTGCTTGAAGTGCTCGAAACCGAAGATATCGAGCACACCCACGTGGTTGGCCATGTTGGCATCGTCAGCAAGCGACTGGTTAATAGTAGTCACAAGCCAGTCGAACACGTTGGAGTAGATAGCCTTAGCAAGAGCGTCGCGACAGTCCATGGCCAGCTCCTTCTTGAGCGGTACACTGTACACATCGTTCACAGCACGCATGGTACGCGAACACAGAGCGGTCTGAAGGGCCTCCCACGTGACGCCCAGCATCTGCGTGGCGGAATTCGCACCACTGTCGCCCTCGGTGATGAGAGACTTCTCGTCATCTGTCGGGTCCGACTGCAACTGCACCTCACCGAGGTGGAGCACACCAGCCAGCACTTCAAACAGTGGCCGCTGGTCGTCGCGAGACAAACCCACAAGCTCCAGCGCCTCACGTGTTTTGTTGAAGTGTTTCTCGTCAGAAAGTCCTTCAATCTTCTGTGCCGTGTTGTCGCCCGTGTACACATAGTGCTTTGACGAGTCGAGCTGCAACTCCGACGCAATGTCGGAGGAGTCAAGCAACTGGTAGAAGATGTGGTAGTTACGCTCAGGCGCTTCGTGCTGAATGACACGCGTCTTCTCCAGAAGATACGTGCGGCACTTGGCTCCGACAAGCGTGCCGTTCTTGTCGAACTGCAGCTGTGTGAACTTGCCAAATCGACTGGAGTTGTCATTACGCACAGTCTTGGCGTTACCGAAGGACTCAAGCAGTGGGTTTACTTCGATAATCCTCTTGATAGTGGAGTTGTTGAGACCACCGGCGATAGTGGCTAAGTGGTTCATAAGGATCTTGGTGGTCTCCGTTTTACCGGCACCGGACTCACCACTGACCAGAATGGACTGGTTACGCTCTGAGCGTCGCATGTTGTCGTAGGCAGCGACGGATGTGGCATACACGTGCGGGGGCAACTCCTCCTTGGGCTGGTTGAGGTACCTCAAGTGCTGCTCTTCGGCGTACAGGTCTGGGAGCCACTTGTAGGGGTTGACAGCGATACAAATGTCGCCTGTGTACGTGTAGGGCAGCTCGCAGAGGAAGCGCTTCTTGATATTGAACAGGATAGCTGCCTCGTGCAAGTAGTTGAGAGTGATCATGTCCTCGATGCCCTCGGGCCCAACGTTCTCGTTCTGGTAAGGAAGCGACTCGAGCTGGTGCACATCTAGCAGCGCCTTTGTCTTCTTGGACAGCATGTCTACGCAGCGCTCCTCGGTCTCGCCGTCGGGCAGCTCAACTTTGCAGTAGATCTTACGTGTCTTGCCATCGCCCGAATTCTCGTCACGCAGTACCTCGGCCGCGAGCCAAACATGAGTCTCATCCGGCACGAAGCACTTGGCGCCCACCACCATCTGCAGGTCACTCATGGTGTCTTCAAATCCCCCTCGGCCCCTCTAAGAACTCAGGAAGCTGGCGCGGCGGACGGCCTAAAGCGGAATGGGTCGAGTTGAGCCGAAGGGGGAGCTGGCAAGATACCGCACATAACCGGTAAGTGGAGCCATCTTGCAACTGGCAACTACTTTCACTTGAAGTTTGTATCTTAACTCTGATCCGACAACATCGTTTGACGACATAGCCTGGCCAGTGCAGCTGGACACCGCACGTGGCAACCGGCTGGGACGGACGGCGCGCAAAAGGATTTGATCATCGGTGCTGGCACACCAACGTGCGGCGCAGTAACCATGGCCGTGTGCCTCTTTAGGGGCCATAAATGAAGTGCGTGCCTTCATGTGGCAAAAAGTATCTCACCCACGAGCTTCATAACGTTACAGAATGAAGCATAACGCTGGAGAAGAACTTCTTCAACACCACCTCATTTTGCATCGTTTCTGCATTGGAAATGATTTACCGTCATAACAGCGGTTTTCTTAACCTGGCATCAAACTTGAGAAAACCCCATTATTTCATACCGGTATTAGAGCTGGCACTTCTGGTAGCGTCAACCTTCGGCGGTGCCGGTGAGTGCAACTCTGTGCCTCATTCTTCGTTTTCAGTTGAACATTTCAACTTATAATTGCTGGCGCATTGTGTCGAATGCACCTTTCCAGATGCGCTACCATACTCACCGGTCATCTTTCTCTTGAGTCTGAGTTTTTTTGTCTACCGCAGCTAATACAGCTTGCACATTTTCCTCGGGAGTTGTTGTTTGGTAGCTGCTGTTTCGCTGAGTTGAGATGCGTTTTCAGAGCTGAAGGTCGTGCTGATTAAGTTCGTTTTCATACGTACACAGAATCATTTGAAGCAGTACATAAGCATACTTCAACACGCTTTTTTTTTCAACCATGAGGGGTTAGACGTGGGCTGACTGCGGAGCTTCCGCACCCAATGAATAACTCGAATCCGTTGATGCTTGTGGAAGTTGCCTTTGGCACATAGATTTTGGATATGTGCCAGCACATTGTGGCAGTATTTGACGGATCTGCTCGGTGCGGCGTTGATACCCATCGTTGTTGCAGCGTTTAACCATTAAGTTGAGCGTTAAAAGGAGCAAGCAATGCGAAGCGTTAACGTAGCTCAGATTAGAACATCCATACTCGATCGAAAGTGATATCGAAGTCTACCTTAGAAGTGCTTCCAACAAAATGGTTTCTTCAATTTATCTGCATTTCTACTCTACGCCACGGCTTCGAGTCTCAGCTGCTTAGCTCTGTAGCCACATCAGTTGGCATTCTTCGCGATCTCAAGCATCTCTGTCACTGACGTGATCTTCTCGCGAGGCTTCCCGACGAGTTCACCGCGGCGATTCTCCTCGGCGCTGAGGCGTTCATAATCAGCCCAGCTAACGAGCTGTTTGTCCGGGTTACGCTTCTTAATGAGCTTCTTCACGGCCTCCAGTCCACCCAACTCTTCGTCGCTTTTATCCTCGCTATGAAGGAAGTTCCCTGCTGCAAAATCCTCAACAATACAGCTAACCGTCTCCCGTGCGTCGACGATATTGGTGCCAATGATACCAGAGGGGCCACGCTTCACCCATCCAGTGCAATACAAGCCAACCATAGGTTGTTTTTCGCCGTTGCTAGACGTAGTGACAACGCGTCCCTGATCATTTGAGACCACGTGACGACGGTTGTCGAAAGGAATATCTGCCTCAATGGGTAGCGACTTGTAGCCGATGCTGCGTAGCACGAGGTTGCATGGAATATCCTCAAACTCTCCAGTTCCAACTGCACGCTGCTGGTTCGGCTCGCCCTCAAGTTTTGTCTTCTCCACACGAATAGCGCCGACTCGAGCCGGATCCTTCTCATCTGCTAGAATCTCCACGGGCGAGCTCAAGAACTTGATTTGCACAACGCGCTCGGCGTCCCCAGCGCTCTCGAACTGCTCTGCCGCCTTGACCAGCAAGTCGTTCATGCGTTTGCGGGCACGCTGTTCCTTGATCTCCTGCTCGGATGCGGCTGTCATACTGCGCGTCAGATCCCCCGGGTCCACAATGCACGCGACGCCTTTCAGCTTGGTCAACTCTCGGATCTCCTTCATAGTGAACGCTGCCTGGGCACTGCCGCGTCGCCCCACGAGGAAAACCTTCTTGATGCCGCTGTTACGCAGCGCCTCCACCGCATGGGCAGCAATATCCGTAGTTGCCAGCTCATCCACTTTCTTCGTGAGGATGCGCGCGCAGTCGACCGCCACGTTGCCCTGTCCGATAACGACCGCCGTCTCGGCGTGCGTCAGGTCCAGCTCCAGGTCGCGAAACGCCGGATGTCCGTTGTACCAGTTCACGAAGGTGCGCGCCGACATGACACCACGCAGACTTTCACCCGGGACGCCCAGCTCGCGGTCACCCGCAGCACCATAGGCTAACACCACAGCGTGGTAATACCGCTGCAGCTCAGCGAGCGATATGTCGTCACCTACGCGCACGTTGCCGAGGAAATGGAAACGCTCATCAGCTGCCACCTTGTCGAAGTCGTTCATCACGCTCTTCACCTCTGGGTGGTCTGGCGCCACACCAGAGCGCACGAGGCCGAATGGTGTGGGCAAAGCCTCCAGCATGTCCACATACACACCGGCGTGTTCTCTAAAAAGGTATTTGGTGGCGTAGAAGCCCCCAGGGCCGGAGCCGATCACGCAAACTCTGCGGTGAGCCGCATCGGGGACGGCCACGCTAAACCTGCGCGCAAGGCAGACGCCAGCGGTACGTTGTGTCCGAGCCAACACCGCTCGACGTAGCAGCATCTTGAATGTGGCGACCTGGTCAAATTGACCGTCAATGACACTCAAATCAGAGTGATGGTCAAAGGGCGCAATCAATGACACTGAGTTATTAAAAGTTAAGTGGAAAGTTGAAAAAACCATTAAAAAATTAATGGTTTTTTTTGTCTGAATGCCATCCCGGCCAATCAGCATGCGTAACGATTCATTCAGGGCGGGTCTTAACCAGTGCCATGCCATGCCATTTTACCTGGCTGTCGTGGCACCGTGGCACTGTTTCGTTAAAAATGATTTTTGCGAAATTGGTGCCATAAAGTAAAATTTGGCTCAAAAGAAATATTACGCGATAAGCGGGAAGCGAAAGACAAGCGCGCGCGGCACACTCAAAGCCCGCAAACTCGCGAGGGTTACATCTCTAGCTACAGCAAACTCTTCGGCAGAAGCATCGTCGACTGCTGGTGAGGCCACCTCTTCGTCTTTGTGTCCTGTTGTAGACGCCGCGTCTTTAGAGCAGTCGCCGCTTGTGGTGTCGGCAACTTCAGTCCATCTAGATCATAGAGCCACAAGCAACAGGTGCGACGCAAATCTTTTCGAAGCCATCAACGCAGTGATTGGATCCGAGTCCGAGAGTGATGCTGCTGTTGATTTTCGTGACAATGTGGCCGTTGCTGGCACCGAGGAAGCCGTGGTTGGTACCAGAGTTGAGCACATGGTTAATTGGACTGTTCGTAAACTTGGAAAGGTGATACCGCCAACATGCAACGACTACGACCAGTGGACAGTCGTTCAGCTTCGAAAAGAGTGTGGAAGAAAAGTGAGTAGACCTGAGCAGACCAGACGGCTCAGGGCGTATGATGCTGCACGCAGAGCTGTCCAGTCTTCAGTGGACGAAGAGTATCTGTTGGAGTCCAGCCTACGCAAAACAAAACACTGCATGATTCGTCTCCTCAATATTCTTTTCTCAGATCACTTTGAGGAGAAACTTGCTTCGTCGGACGAAACAGCGACCCGTGACCAAATCGATGCCGGGGAAGTGAACCAAAAAAGCCGCGTTCTGGAAGGAAGTAGGTGTTGTGTATCGCACCAATACGACTGACTTCAATGAACTTTTCGCTGAAGCAGCAAACGACCCTCGCTACGAAGGTATTAATCCTTCGGTGATTGTAGAGCACAACACAACAAAGCTCTACGACATGTGGAAATCGGTGAACGGCAAGTTTGTGAAGGCGTTAGCTAGATTCGTTGTGTCTGGACAAAACTCCAACGAGTTCTACGATTGTGCGACGCGAATGTAGAGGTCCTCTATCTTCGAGTGTGCACGGGGGTGAAACCAGAGCTGATGGATTTTGTCAGTGGTGGCATGCACGAAGAAGACGAAATCGACTCGCTCAATATGCCTGTGTCGGAGAAACCTGTTGCTCAGGTAAAATCATCGAAGTGGCAAGAACAAGTGCTCACGACGATCAATCGCATGGTCGACATCTTCGCAAATACTCCACAATCTGCTGTAGCTCTCTCAACGAGTCGCATTTCACGCGAAGCCCTTGATGAAGATTTACTGCTCGGATGAATTGCGAAGCTGCAGCAAATGACCGACCAGGTAAAGGAAAGCCAACGGAAGATGGAGCTAAGCGGGTTTTCGGACCCCTCACTTGCTAAAAGCGTCGAGTTATATCAGCAGAGTTTGTAGTACTACGAAAGCCGCCTTGCAGATTTGGATTAGATCCTCGTCGTACCGGTGGAAATCTCGAACCGAGTTTTGATTTATTTATCTCATCGTTACTTGTTTTAGTCTGGATTAAGCGCTGCAATCATCAAGGTTGAGCTTGGATATCTATTCGTTCTTCTTCTCTTCTTGTGCTCGTCTAATCCTATTGCGTTGTGGGCGAGAAATATTGGGAACTAATCCAACGATGGCATCACGAACCCACTCCGAGCTGTTATACGTGTCTGTGTCAACCACCAGGTCAGAAGACTCGTACAGGCGACGGTAACATGAAGAATCTTGAGGTTCGACTGTAGAATCAACAGATCTGTCCCCTGCCAAGCGGGTTGATTCAACGACTTCAACCATATCTTCATCGTCTTCAACTCTGTAGCTTCGGTTCTCGCGAAGACGCTGATTGATACACCAATTGTGTAAAATACAAGCTGCTAAAATCGTACGAGGCACTCTCTTAAAGCTGATTTCCAAAGGTTCCTTGAACACACGCCACTTACAGATTAGAAGACCGAAAGCCATTTCGATCCTAATCCGAAGCTGACTAAGGTGAAGTTATAGCTGTTATGAGCAGAAGAAAGGACTCAAGGCCTTGGAAATGGAGTCAACAGCTGGTTTGTGTTTGTGTATACGTTGTCACCGACAATGTAAAGTCCTTTGGGGAGGTCCTTGACAATCGCTGATAATCTCCACTTTAAAAATGCCACTGCGTCACCAGTTCCACCAGGACTTGAGCAAGTTACGACAGTAAACTGACTTAGATGATCACAACAAGCTTGAACGATTACACCGTACCGCTGATAATGGCCAGAGAAGAACGATCGCACCCTGGAAACCTCTTTTTTCTGTGGGACTCGGATAGGACAAAGCCACCCATCGACGGCGCCAACACACCCCTTCATGATACGAGAGCTGCCTAGTCGCTCAAACGCCTTGGTAGCATGACGTTGGGCCGGCTCTGTAGTAGGAAACTCAAGCTGTAGCTCTGGATGAGCTATTATCGCATCCACGATTTGATGAATTGAGGCGTAAAACGCCGCAACACTCACTCCACTGTTAGATCGCACATCATGATAAGATCCCCCACCTAGCCAGCGCAAGCACATCTGGAGCTTATTGATGTGCGTTATCGGCTCTGTGCCCGTCCGATTACGCGATTGCCGTTCGTCCACCAGCAGATACGGCTCGAGCTTTTTCTGCGAGCGCCATGAAAGACGAGTACGACATTTTGTAGCACTTGTGGAATTGCCCCTAGTCAATTAGGCGTTGTGAGTATTGGTCCCAATCTATGCGCACACGGTGAACAGGCCACCAAGCACCAGGCACTTCTCGTCGTCTGGAGCCTGATCGCGAATGAAAGCTGACTTCACCTTGCCGATCCAAACCCGCGCACGATCCTCGTCGTCGTCCTTCCCGGAGAACTCTTTCAGTTCTGACATAGCGGACACGCGAATGCGAGGGGTGATTGCTGGCAGTCCAGTCGTTGTCGCAGCGGTGGCTACGGTTGCTTGACGGGAGGCAGGGAGGTCCAGGTCGTCCGGATCATATTCTCCGTGGTCAGATCCCACGGACTCCATGTCGACGTCCTGC